CAGCCTGAACTTGAGGGCCAGATGTGGGTGGAGTCCATGCAGGTGTGTCTCATCCATGCATCTCAATGTTGAGGCTGACCGAGAGGGCAAGGTGATCTTAAGTCTCCTGAAGCCAGTCACAGAACTCAGGCCCAGGTGTGGTCAAGCTGTCGGTTCCCCCATCGGAGTTGATTAGACAGAGATGTGATCAAGAGCATGGTACAAATGGAATCAGTCAGTAAGCTGAGGTCAGTCAGACACAGAGGCAGGGCAAGACATAGCTTGTCAAGCACAGATGGTGCCTGGTCAGTCAGGTGCAGTGAGGCTCCCTCGGTCAGACACACCCTGTCAGGCCCAGATGCCATTAGCCTGGTAAGTGCAGTCAACTGTGATCAGGTGGACAGATCAGGCAGTCTTGGTCTGTCAGGCACCCATGAAATCCATGCTCAGTCAGACAGAGCCAGACACACTTGGATTACCAGGCAGTGATGGTGGCTGTGGCCAGACCCAGTTGGGCCATCAGATGTAGGCCATCGTGCACCAATGAAACCAGCCTGGTTCTGGAAGGAGCCTGGCCAGCCAAAGAAGTCTGTCAATGAACTAGGACTCATTGCTCACCAGTCACTGTCTACTAGCACATCATCTTAGACTTCCAAGCCTCTAGAACTGTGAGAAAGACATTTCTGATGTTGATGTTATTTTGATGTAGCAGTCAATGGTGTTTAGTTACAGCAGCCTGAACAGGCTGACACTGTGTTACACAGAGAGAAAGGAAGTATATTGATTTGGGAATGATTCAAGTCTAAGAAATTCTACATGTGGGCACAATGGAGTCCTAAATTCAGACATTGGTGATCCTGATGAGGATCATGAGCAGGCTGTCCGTTCCCTTCCTTTATTTCCAGGGCTCTGCTGCCAATCTGACCTGCCTGGATGCAGATGTGTGCTGCTGTGGATAAAGATGGGACTGCAGCCCCAGGCCCAGGCCCACGCCCAGCGAAGGGTGGGCACACTGTGTTTGTTTCCCAAGTGAGCGGTGTGGGTGGCTGGCAGCTCAGCACCCTGCCTGCTAATGAGCTTAGAGCCTTGGCTTAATCAACAGGGCTGTGTGTCACAGGGCTGACATGTGATGTTTCTGGAGACGTGTTAGGGATGTTCGTTATTTTTACTTTTTCTCTTGCATCATCCTTGGTCTGAGAGAGACAGATGGAACCAGCAGATTCAGCTGCCAATGCTGCTGCACCTCTGGCTCAGCATCTTGTCTGCAGTGTCAGGGGCCTCAAGCCAGCCTCACTGAGGCTGGTCAGAATCCAATTGTAACATTCAGATTTCCCAACTGCACAATCCTGAGCCCTGAGTCCAGGCCCGGAATCTGCCTCCTGTTGGAACAGTGACACTCTAGAATCTCTGTTCTGATCTGAAATAGGTCTTTAAGAAAGGAGTCTGTGGAAATGGAGGTGTGGCCCACGTGGTAAGAGTGCACCAGCCTTGAGCGAAAAAAGTCCAAGCAAGAGCATGAGGCCGAGTTCAAGACCAGCTTATATATACATGTGTACACACACACACACACACACACACACACACACACACACACACACAAACCTGTTAGCTTTCCTGAATCTAATCTAAGCTGTGGGTTAGTGTGTGTTCAGGCCCACATCCTCACCATGTCTTGGATTAGAATCCTGCTTTTCTCTAATAAGTTCCACATAGGTTACCTAGCCTCTCCGTTGCAAAAAGAGCACAGTAGTAGTACCTCACAGGATTGCTGTGTAACTTGAGATAATATATGTAAAGCGCTTAGTTATCTGCTATGCTCAGTAAGTCTATTTCATAACTATTAATGCCTGCTATATACCAGCCACTGTACTGGTGTTAGAGACATAGGGGGAAAGAATAAAATAAGCCACTAAATTCATTGGAAAACTGAAGCATCTGAAACTAAGTCCATGGTCCAATGACCTGAATATAAGAGATGCACAGAGCTAGGTATTAGGAACCCATTTGTAATCACAAGTATTTAAAAGGTGGAGATAGGAGGATCACAGTTCAAGATTAAAAAGCAAACCAGGACCAGGCACTGGTGGCTCATGCCTATAATCCTAACTGCTCAGGAGGCTGAGATCTGAGAATTAGAGTTTGAAACCAACCTGGGCAGTGAAACACTTATCTCCAATTAAGCACCAAAAAATCCAGAAGTGGAGCTGTGGCTCAGGGACAGAGCCCAGACTCTTAGTTCAAGCCCTAGGACTAGCAAAACAAAACCAAAACCTACCTGTGGTAATGATATCTGTGTTAGGTAAATTAAATTGGCAGCTGACTAAAGAGAGCAGCACGTGTTATTCAGGGAAGGGAAAGGTTTATTTGCAGGGCACCTCTGGCCAAGTTGGAAGCCCAAGCAGCAGGAATAAAAAGGATCGAACCAAAGCCAGGTCAGACTTATCAAGTCCAGGGGCGGAAGAAGGTGTGGCCACACCGGATTCGGATGTGATGGGGGGTAAGACCTACCAGACATGAGAACTGTAGGCTAAGAAGAAAGCCCTCCAGGCACCAGTGGCTCATGCCTGTAATCCTACCTACTCAGAAGGCTGACATCTGAGGTTCATGGTTTGAAGCCAGCCCAGGCAGGAAAGGCCAAGAGACTCTTATCTCCAGTTAATCACAGAAAAAGCCAGAAGTGGCACTGTAGTTCAAGTGGTAGAGCACTAGTCTTGAGCCAAAGGAGCTCAGGGACAATACCCAGGCCGCCAGAGTTCAAGCCCCAGGACCTGGAAAAAAAAAAAAAGCCATATCAAGAGCCAGGTTACCCAGAGGACATTTGTACAGCAGAGCTTGGATAGTGGAAGGAATGGCTAGGCCAATTCGCAATGTGGCTGTGATATACCATCTACATTCTATAATGTAGCTGTCATTATATAGATGGAGAGAGTGGTCCAAGACAGGAAGGAGGGAGGCAGAGGTTAAATGCCATGGGAGAGTCTAGATTTTGTCCCAAGTGGGATTAAAGCCCTCAAGGCTTATGCAGGAGTAACTGAAAGCACCCTTGCCAGCAAAAGGAGTTTACTGTCAGCAGGGGCTCACAAGGCCACTTTTCTCATTAGAGAGGGAGAAATGGTGCCTGTCCTTTATTTAGGGGGTATTTATAACCTACAGGAGATAAGGGCAGGGATTCATGTGAAATGTTTGAGCAGAGATTTTCATGATGGTGAGCTACGATTTATGGCAGCTGCCTGAATAGTAGAGAAGGGGGCCTGCTATTACCATTTGTATCTGTAACTGACCAGATGGAATATTATTTCAAGGTGAGAGGGAGAAAGTTGGTTATCAGCTGCCTGCACCAAAAGGGCCCTTCGTTGGCCAGTCTTAGGGAAAGGAACTTGTCAGGCTAACAATACAAGATCTGATTTTGGACTAAAAGTTAACTGTCCTCTGTAGGATAGATAGGGAACTATGAGGAACAATAGGAATTGTCAGAACAACTCAGAGGCATCCAAGTGAGCAATGCTGCTGGTTTGGATTTGACTATAGATTAACACTGTCCAACAGACATTTTGGGCTGGTGGACATTGAAAGCAGCTATCCCAAAAGCCTACGTGGACACTGTCATATACAAGAGAGGAAGGCTTATAAGGAGGTTTACCAGAGGGGCTGACATGGCCATCTCCCCCACAGGAGAGGGAGCAAAATGGCGCCTGTCCATATCTAGGGACGTCCTTGTAACACTAGGGATAGAGGTGGGAGTACTCTGTGTGCACAGCTAAATCTGGGCAGAGAGAGGGAAACTGGCAGGAGCCCCCAGAGAGTTCTTTGTGAAGGGCAAAGTGCAGTTCAGGTTTGGGTGTAGGGTGTTCTGCTGATGCAGCTGGGGGCAGATACAAGCTACTCCAGGAAGTGAAGTGGAAGGGGCTGAGACTGAGATGGATGGCAGGCTAACAGACATGGTCTACAGAGAACTTGGAATTTGGTTAATGTTGACAAAGCACTGAATTTTTAATTTCATTATACTTTTAATTAAAACATAAATATCCTTGTGCAATTCATAGCTACTATAAGAACAAAGTGGGATAGAGACCCTGGCACATTTGAAGTATATTTAGTGACATGTAATGGTTATGGTTATGGACTGCAGGAATACCAGCCTGTGGAAGCTCAGAAAGGAGGCCATCAGTCCTTCTGCTCTGTGTCACTTGCCACAGCTCCCCTCTACTTCACCACCCCTGTTCTCTAGTACTACTCCCCTGGCTCAGATTCTTGTCTCACTGTGAAGGAGAGGCCCAGTCTCTGGGGTGTTTGCCGGCGTCTCTGTTCCGTTAGGCTCTCCCACCACAATTCCTCCCATGACTGGCTTCCTGCGTCCTTCAGGTCTGTCCAAAAGCCACCTGGCCATCACCTAAAACATCCCAAACCCACACTTCGTATTCTCACTTTTAATTCCGCCCCGTTTTGTCGGTCGTGGGGCCTGAACTCTGGGCCTGGGCGCTGTCCCTCAGCTCTTCAGCTCAAGGCTAGCGCTCTACCACTTGAGCCACAGCGCCACTTCCGGCTTTTTCTGCTTATGTGGTGCTGAGGAATCGAACCCAGGGCCTCAGGCATGCAAGGCAAGCGCTCTACCACTGAGCCACCTTCCCAGCCCTGCCCTTTATTAATCGTAAGGCTCTTGCTTATTGTGTTTTCTAGGAAAGCAAAAATGTTCATCTTCTGTTTTTTTCCTCCTTCCCTGCTGCCTTCCACAATGCTTCCGGGCACACAGTAGGTGCGCAAGAGAAACGCGGTGAGAGGAAGACTGCCGTCCTACCACAGTGGGAGGGGGAGTAAGGAAACCGAGGCGCTCGGGGGCTCCGGGACTCCGCGGCCGGTAACAACCGTTGCAGGGCGCAAGACGCGGGGGTGGTGAGGCCGGGCTGACCGCTCGCACTGCCACTCTTCCGTGCCGGAACGTTGGGATCCCGGAACCGTACTTCTCTGGCTCTGGTTCAAGAGCATTTCCGGTTCCGCTCCTCTCTTGGCCGCGTCGAGAAGTGCCAAGTCAGTTCCGGTCGAGAGCGCGGAGAGGAGCGGAGCGGAGCGCGGCCTGCTTCCCCGGGGCCCTCGGCGCCTTGCGGCCCCAGGCCCGAGGCCGAGCGGAGGGCCCCGGGGACCGGCGGGGGCACTCGCGGCAGCGGGCTCCCGCATCCCCGCCGCAATGACTTGGTGGCGGCGGCGGCCCCAGCGAGCCCGGGCTCCACCCTGCCGGGTCATCGAGGCCTCGCCCGGCTGCCGAGGACGCGGCGCCCTTGGTGGCGGCGGGCATGGCGCAGCCGGGCCACCGCGGCGGCGGAGGCTTTGACGGGCTGGAGGACGGAGACCGCAGGAGGCCTTGGAAGCTCGCCCGCATTCTAGGCCGCCGATCCGGGACCTGGGGTGACCTCCCTGCCCCACAGGGAGGCCGCACCCCGCGACAAGGACACACGAAGGCCCTAACGGTCCTGGCAGGTGAGCGGAGCCCCGGATGACGGCAGGGGCAACGGTTGGCGGCCCCGGCGGTTGGGCTGGTGCCCGCGGAGAAACGGTAGAGTGATGGCCACGGGTGCCCACCGGAAGCCCACGAAGATTTCCTGGCCGCTAGCAGGCCTGTGTATATAATATGAAAAAGCTGCTCTCAACTTCCCCCAACCTTTTAAAAGACGACTTTGAGTCCATCTGGGCATTCCAGATGCGAAGAGGTTGCCGACGTATGATGAAGTAGAGGTAGAAAGTCGCACCTGTCAATGCCCATGTGTTTGTAAAGACCATAGAAACGTCTTCTGGAAGTGACTTGGAATGGCGGTGTGAGACCACCTCCAGAGGACACAGCCAGAGCCACACTCGTCCGCGTTTGTTCCGTTCGGTGGTTGGAGGACATGGAATAGAAGACCCGTGAGAAGGAAGAGGGGATCGGCGAAGACGTTTTCCAGTGACAGCCATTGATCTGTGTGCATCTCATTCCCCTTGCTGTATATAGAGTTGACTGCACTTAAGTACCTTTGATATTCTGAAGTGCCTGATGTATTTTTAAAGTAGGAGTAGGAAAATAACACATTTTGTAAACGTCCCTATTAAAAGTCTTGTGAAATGCATTTGGGGGGGGGGGGAGGGAGAACGGTTAACCGCTTGAGTTGTAGGCGTGGTGCTTACGCCTTGGTACCCAGGTGAAAGAAATGTAAAGAGGGCCACTCCAGTGCTTACAGGGAAGAGGAACCTTGTCCCATTTTGTTCTACTTTCTTGTGTACATAGTGTATATAAAGGACAAAGGAGTCCTAACTTACATCTAGTCTTTCTAGATGTTAGAGAGGTTGCCAGTGTATGACAAAAATAGAATTAGTAGACTTTGTATGTTTTGTGTTAAAATCCCTAGAAAAGGTCTTCTGAAAATCTGAGCAATCTAGCCCACTGGGTAGGTGGACAAAGGTTCTAGAATGTTCATATTTTGAAGACATTTTTCAGATTATAATTAGTTACATGTGTGCAGTCAGTGAAGACTGCCGTGTATATAGTGGACAAACTGAGTCCTTACTTGAAAACATCTAGTCTCTCTAGATGTTTAGAAGTGCCCAACGTATGTTAAATGTAGAGATAGTAAAATAATCACTTTTTAGGTATCTTTTTGCTAACATTCACATGAAACACTGTCTTTAGAAAATGGAATGGGGGAACCACCTCTGTGAGCAGAATGGCAGGTACTGACTGTACTCATTTATTGGTTTGGAGGAGAGGTGGAAGTGAGCAATTGCAAAAAGTAATGTGCTAGTGTATTCATACCTGGACATCCTCAGATGCCATTTTTCTGTATTGTGCATTTTGTTTTGCTGTGTATATAGTGTATATATAATAGACAAAAAAAGCCCAACTTTTGCAACATCTAGTCTCTAGATGTTAAAAGAGGTTGCCAGTGTATGACAACGTAGTAAAATTAGCACATTTTGTGTACTTTGTGTTAAAATGTCATAGGAAGCTTTTTTTCTGTAAATGACAATTAGATAATGAATTTGTTTAACTATCTCTAAGCATTACATATGCCTGTACTGGTCTACTGGTTTGAAGGCAGATAGAAGGAATTGAGGAGGGAATGGCCCATGGCCAAAATGGCCGTATTTAGAGGATACCTCGGATTATAACCACTGTTGCATGTGCAATTGTATTTACCAGTGCTGTGAGCACAGCAAGCAAGTTTGCCTATGAAATAGTCAGTCCTAGGTATTTAGAAGTGTTTGGTGTACTTAAAAGTAGAAGTAGAATAACTGTAAATAGCTTTGCAAAATTTGGGAAATACTGTGTTTGGAAATGGAGTTGTTAAACCACCTCTGTGAACAGTGTACTGTCTGTACTTGTTCACTGGGTTGAAGGTGATGGAAAGGAAACTGCTGCAAAAGTTAATTTTGTTAGTGTGTGTGAGAAAATTTCAGCTTATCCCTTACCCTCTACGTTACGTACATTTCGTTTAATTTTGCTGTATTGTATATATTATGTACAGACTGGACAAATGAGTCCTAATTTTATAATATCTAGTCTCTAGATATTAAAGAGGTTGCCAGTGTATGACAGAAGTAGAGTTAGTAAACTAACACATGTTGTATGCATTGTTAAAATTCATAGAAAGGCTGTCTTCTGAAAAAGGCTTTAGAAGCAAAATTGTAACATCTGTAAGTGACTGTAAGTATCAAGTGTGATACTGGAGAGGAGTTGGAAGAAATGAAAAGATCTAGGCTAGACTGCTCCCGCCTAGAAGACACTTTCAGATAGAACCATTGTTACATGTGTGTGGCTTATTCAACACTACTGTGTATATAGTGGACAAGTAAGTCCTTATTTGAAACATCTGGTCTCTCTAGATGTTTAGAAGTGCACAAAGTATGTTAAAAGTAGAGGTAGTAAATAATTCATTTTGTAGATACTGTTTTGCTAAAATTCATAATGACATTTTGTCTTTTGGAAATGGAATGATGAAACGGCTTCTGAGCAGTACGCAAGGTGTGTGTGTGTTCTGGTTCAGGGAGGGAGGGAGGAGAAGTGCGGAGGGCTCTCTACCAGTGGGTTTATGGTGAAGCAAGATTGACCATTGTCTCTTGCGTCTATGCATTTTAATTTTGTTCTGTATATAGTGTATATAAAGGACAGATGAGTCCTAATTTAGAATATCTAGTCTTGCTAGATGTTAAAGAGGTTGCCAGTGACAAAAGTAGAATTAGTAAGCTAACACATTGAGTACATTTTGTGTTAAAATTTAAAGACTTTAAACATTAAAGTAAAATTATTAAAAATCCCCTTGAAATATTATAGATGTGTAAATAACCCTGACATTGGGTTGATGGAAATGGGAAGGGTTCTAGGCCAGAATCTTCTCTTTCAAATTAGAGCTTTTGCTAAGTGTGTGTGCTTTATCTGGCACTACTTGTATGTTTGTTTGGTGGGAAACCTAAGACCTTATTAGAAGCATCTAGTTTTTCTAGATGTCCAAATGTGTATAACCTTGTAAAAGTAGAAGGCTAACATAATGCCCTTGAAGTATTTTTTGTGATTGAATTTGGGATGAATTGTAATGTCTTAGAGACTATGCTGTTTACTGGGTGGCAGCAGGGGTGGGGTTGGGGAGGAACTGTGCAAAGAGAAGGCTATCTCGGGCCTGTTTTGTTGGTCTAGACTTGGTTTTGTATGTGTATTTTAGTTAATATTATCAAGTATTAAGGGTTAAGTCTTAATGCTAAAAGTAAAAAGTAGAAAATAATCCCTATAGAAATGTCCTTCTGTTAGTTTTTAGGAAAAACTGTCTCCTAGGAGTGAATTATCTCAGCGTGTCTGGAGAGATGGTGAGGGGGAAGAGGAAGGTGGGGGAAGGGCTCTGTTAGCACCGCCACATCTAGAAGATGTGCGTTTTTGGTAAAATACTTACATTGTACACAAAGCTCTCATTATTTCAGAACATCTAATCTTTATAGATATCCTGAGATAATGTATGGTAAAAAGTAGAAGTAGTGAATTAAATAACTTGTAAATACCTGTTACAATCAGCAGATCCATCTTGGATGGATTGTGCCACCTCTGGGCAATGAAGTCAGGACTTACTTAGAGGCTGGCAGCAGAGGGTAGGAATAGGAAGCCTGCAGGGAGAGAGATGTGTGCAGGTGTGCTCAGAATTTTACTTTGATTAGAACCATTGATGTATATGGTTCTGGTTGTCCCCTAGGGATACATATATTTAGTAGAAACATTCTTGCTAATATTTTAATAGTATGCTATAAGCCTACTAATGAGTTTAGAAATTGCTTAGTATATCTTGCTTTATGTCTCTTTAAATTGAGCATAAAGGAAATTCAGTATTTTAATTGTAACTCTGCCAATACTTCTGTCTAGAAGCCTGTTGCTGTTTTTGTCTTCAGTGAAATTTTTATCCCTAAGAAAAGCAGGAATGCATATTTTTTAACCAAACAGATTGAGTTTGTGTAGTTTATTCTTGGTTATCAAAATATTCATGTAGCTTTGGGATTTTGAATTGGTGAATTTGTAACATTTGGAAAAGCATGACACAAACCATAGATCTGTTACCTAAAAAGGGATTGGTGTATGTACATGGAGGATCTAGACAGTCATGTCCACCTGAACTGCTTGTGGCAGTAATACTTTGCACTTTGCGAATATGTTTTCTGTAACTCACATGTTAAATAAAGGTTATTTAAAAAAAACAAAACTTGAAGGCCTGGGAATGTGGCTCAGTGGTAGAGTGCCTGCTTAGCATGTATAAAGCTCTGGGTTTGAGTCCTCAGAACTACATAAACAGAAAAAGCCAGAAGTGACGCTGCAGCTCCAGTGGTAGAGTGCTAGCCTTGAGGAAAAGAAGCTCAGGGACAGTGCCCAGACCATAAGTTCAAGCCCCAGGACTAAAACAAACACTTGCAGTCCCTATTGTTTGTGGAATAAAGCTAGTGTGTTCCATGGAAGCAGTGTTTTCTGCTCCTTGGCTGCACTCTGAGTTAAAGGCCTTTTTCACTGCCTAGATGTTAGCCCCATCCTGTGCTGTGCTGCTTCGCATGAGGACCCTGCACTTGGAGCAGCGCATGTTCTATTCATGCTGTTCTGCCCATGTTGCCTTTTCCTCATGGCTCACTTGGTAAAGTCATTTTTCAGGACTCAATTCCAATCAGATTCTAATTTCTGAAGTCTTACCTATAAGAACTTGATATCCCAGAATTAAAGTGTGTCCTCTTCTTTGCAGCCCCTACCTGTTCCTCTTGAATTTGGAACCTGCTTGTGCCACTGTTTCCTGAAAGGCACCTTTAAGCCACCTACACAGCCATAGGGTGCACTACAATGTCTGAAGGGGAGCAGGTGTCTAGGCACTCTGCCGAGCATGACAGATACAAGCTCACATACCGCTGATGGCATTGTGGTTATAGGCATAAGTTGAATAATCAGGGCTCTTCAGGTTTTATCAAACTGGAGGCCCAAGGCCAAATGCACAAATCAGACATCTGCCTGTCAGGTACAGGAAACATTTCAATAGCACTAAAGTTCTTATTTTCCACTTAGACCTCTAGGTGTAGAAAGTAGTTTCTCTGGGTGCTGCTGTAACCTGGGTAGTTGGGATCCTGAGGGCGGATGGAAGAAGGCAGTGGCTTTCTAACTGCCTAAATGCCTGGACCCCTGTCTGGACCCCAAGACTGGCATGAGCTGACTGGAGGCAGGCTTCAGAAAGGCACTTACTTCTTGAATCTGGTCACATGGTGACCCAGGTCCACAAACAACTGTCCTTTGTCCAAGGCTTAGTCTTGTAATAAGTTGGTCTGGCTTGGTTGATGAGGTTTGCCTCTCCAGATCTAAGAGCCTTCCAAAGCCATGTTTTATCAGTGGAAAAGCTGTGGTCAGAAGCTTCTAAATGCCATTCTCTACTAAAGGAACCATTGTTGGGGAACTGGCTAGTTACAGGGCTGCATCGGGGAAAGGATAAGATCATCCTGAAGTGTCTGGCAAGAAAGTGCTCAAAGGGGAATGGAGACCTGTCAAAAGGACATAAGCCAGTTTACAGAAATGTAGAAAGATTTGTATAATGACTCAGAAAAAGTTCAATAAATGGCCTCGACAGACTCAGGGTGTGACTTAAGTGGTAGAGCACTTGGTCTAGTGTCAGGTCCTGGTTTCAATGCCTTAAGAAGGCATTTGCCTTAAAGAATGTCAATCAGGATACAATAAAGGCACTTACCTGCACACTCATGTACACTGTACCATTGCTCACAATAGACAAAGTATGGAAACAACCCAGATGCCATACAACTGATGGCACAGATCAAGAAAGTGACATATGTATGTGTATATTTTATGTGTATGTATATATTTATATATGTATAAGCATGTACATGTACACTGGAATTTTTTTCAGCCAAGAGGAAGAATTATCAGTTTTCAAGGAAATGGATAGATTTGGTAAAGTCAGGTTCAGAGAGACAAAGGGCAAGTTTTCTCTCTCATGCTGAAAACATATATATATATATATGTATATGGTAAACATATGCATGGCCATATACACAAGCATATGTAGACATACACATTAAGGTATATATACATGTATATACATGGTAGGCATAATATGTATGTATATACATGTATATGTATGAAACTGACTATAGTAAACACAAGATCCCACAAGATTCCAAGTCTGACCCCTTTAAATGATTAAATGTTTAACAGGCAGTGTAGCAAAAAGAAAGCTGAAACATGTCTTGACTGGGAGCAGGAGGTAATGGGAAGGGAAAAGATAAATGAAAAGAGGTAACCGAATACATAAAACTCAATGGACATGAGAAAAGTTGGAAGGGTTTGAAATTAGGAAACGACGTGACTGAGGCGGGGAAGGGGTAGGTAGGAGGGAGAAGGATGGAAGGAGTGATTACGGTTAAGATACATTGTACATATAAGTGTGCATGGTAAGTGGAAACATCCTTGTACAGCTATCTGAAGATATTAATGAAAATATCAGTGTTTTTTTTTGGGGGGGGGCATGTACGAGTCAGCCCCACTTGAACAACAGCTCCAATTCCATCTTTTTGTTGGTAAATTGGATATAAGAATCTCAACAGCCGGGAGCAGGTGGCTCACGCCTGTAATCCTAGCTACTCAGGAGGCTAAGATCTGAGGATCACGGTTCAAAGCCAGCCCAGGCAGCAAAGTTCCTGAGACTCTTATCTCCAATAAACCACTAGAAAACTGGAAGTGGCGCTGTGGCTCAAGTGGTAGAGCGCTCACCTTGAGTTGAAGAGCGCAGGGACAGAACCCAAGCTCCGTAACAACAAAAGAACACACCTCAATCTTTCACCCAAACGTGTCAACTGTTATATTTTCTTTTAAGTATATATATATTTGCAAATAATTTGAGTAAGTCAAAGAATTCTTTTTGTGTTTGAGACAAGGTCTTACTATGAAGCCTAGGCTGGCCTCAAACTCATTCTTTAGCTCAGATTGGCCTGGAATTCCCTATCCTCCTGCCTCAGCCTCCCAAGTGCTGGGATTACAGGCATGGAGAAATCTCTTTTAACCACGAAGTATAGCAGTATGTATTTCCCAATAACAAGATTCTCTTACACAACTCAGTACAGTTAACATCAGCAAAGATAATACTATTCTTTTACTCACAGTTCATTTGTACACAATTGTCACCAAGGTCCTTAGTCTGTCATTGGTTTTTTTTTTGGGGGGGGGGAGGGGTCAGTCATGGGCCTTCAACTTGGCCTGGGCGCTGTTTCCTGAGCTTTTCTGCCCAAGGCTAGAGCTCTTTGAGCCACAGCTCTGCGTTTGGTTTTCTGGTGGTTAATTGAAGTCTCACACTTTAGGGGCTGGGAAGGTGGCTCAGTGGTAGAGCACTTGCCTTGCATGTCTGAGACCCTGGGTTTGATTCCTCAGCAACACATAAGCAGAAAAAAAAAAAAGCTGGAAGTGGCACTGTGGCTCAAGTGGTAGAGTGCTAGCCTTGAGCTGGAATGCTGAGGGACAGCGCCCAGGCCGAGTTCAGGCCCCACGACTGGATACCCCCTCCACCCCCCCCAAAAAAAAAAGTTTCACACTTTACTGCCAGGACTGGCTTGGAACTGCAATCCTCAGATCTCAGCCTCCTTGAGTAGTAGGATTACAGGTATGAGCCACCAGTGCCCAGCTTTCTTTCTTCTTTCTCCTCCACCTCCTCCTCCTTTTATTCTTCCTGGGGTTTGAACTCAAGGTGCTAAGCTTGCTAGGGAGGCACTCTACCACTTGAGCCATGCCCCTAGCCCTCTGCTTTCATCTTGATCCTGATCTTTTGATGAGTAAGGCAAGGCTTTGGAAATAGGATGTTTGGGGCAAGACAAGAGAGGGTCATAGCCCTGCCAGCCCTTTAGGCCAGGTGAGAGGAACACTTCTCCCTGGAAGCCATACAGCAATGCTGACTGCCACTTCTCACTGTCCCCGGCTCTCACAGTGGCTGTTGCCACAGCCCTGCAACCAACCAGTTTTGGTGCTACTTCTCAGCCATCTAGAATCTGGGGCCACCTCCAATATTTGCTCAGGGTCAGTTGTAGCCAAAGTCTAAACAGTGCCCCAAACAGCACACAGGCAGGCACATGGGCAAAGTGGCTTCAAGCCACAGTATCCTACAAGTGTTCCTGTGACCCATTTCACCCCTTAGACTTGCTTTAACTGGAAGGTAATATGACCCCCCATGACTTACCAGAAGGAACAGAGAATTCTTCTGTATTTTTTTTTTTTTTTTGCGAGTCCCAGGGCTTTAACTCAGGGCCTGGGCACTGTCCCTGAGCTTTTTGCTCAAAGCTAGCACTCTACCACTTGAGCCACAGCACCACTTCTTTTTCTGTGTGGTGCTAGAAAATCAAACTCAGGGCTTCATGCATTCTAGGCAAGCACTTTACTGCTAAGCAACATTCCCAGCCCCAGAAGGGATATGTGTGTATGTGTGTGTGTATGTATATCTGTATCTACACACACACATATATATATTCTTGGTCAGTCATGAGGCTTGAATTCCCATGCTTTTGTTCTCAAAGCTAGCAATCTACCACATTGAGCCACAACTCCTGGTTTTGGGGTGGTTATAATTAGAGATGAGTCTCACGGAACTTCATGCCTGGGCTGACTTTGAACCATGATCCTCAGATCTCAGCCCCTTGAGTAGCAAGGATTATAGGCATGAGCCACCAGCTCCCTGCTGGAACAGAGGATTTTAAGATTGCTTTTGCCTCTAGCCCCAAGATGGAATCTTAAACATTTCCTATAATAAGTGCTGGCAACACTTTCTGTGTTTATTTTTCAAATAGGTTTTTCATTTTTCTCAAATAGTGGAAGCTTTTAAAGTTGGGGCTTTTATTTTTGGCTCACAGGGCCTAGTTGTGCCTCTCCAAGTATGACTATGCCTGTTTCCATATGGAAAAATCACTGCAGAGTGAATGGATTCACTAGCACAGTCTCAGGGCAAACAGGTGGGGGCTAGATGAGTAGCAATGGCGTTTGCAACACACACACTAGCAAGCTGATAGACTAGGATGGTACCAGCTACAGCAAAAGTGAACACATTTTCTGCGCCTGGTAGCACACGGCTGAGATGAGGCCTTTGCTTCACTGGGCCTCAAGCTTCCCATCTGTCACATGGGATGATGCCACCTAGTTCATTGCCAAGGAAATACTTTTAGGGTAACAGCCTTTTTCTGTGATTTGGACAGATTTTGAATGGGTTCCCCAAGGGTCCATGTGTTAAAAGTTTGGTCTCCTGTGTAGAAATGTTAAGAAGTAGTGAGACCTTTAAGAGGTCAGACTTGGCTAGAGTCCCTTGGATTACTGGGTCCTGAGGATTGCCCTTCACTGGATTAAGGTAGGTCACAGGATCAAAATTAGGTATTTCAAGAGTGAGTTGTTAGAAAAGAACAACCCTGGCCCTCTTTTTCTTTAGATGACCTGTCTGGTGATGATGGTATTTGCATTTATAACGTCTCATTCTGTTCATTGTAAGAAGGCTCCTCCCACCCTGACACCAACTCCAGTGATGAATTCACACACACCACCCTCCTGACTCCACATCAGCCCTCCCAGTCCAAATCCCTCGGAGGTCATGTCATTCAGAAAACATGGTAGCCACTACAACAAAATCTTTTATTAGTGCTAAATAAGAACCCCTGCATTCTTATACTGAGGCAGGAGTTCTTGGATTTTATGCCGAGGTGCTGAGATGGCCTGGATAATTCGCAACGGAGGAAGGTACTTCTGGGATGCCATAAACACTGGGCGACATGGCTTACTCCTTTTTTTGATGTTACACAAATCCAGGATCAAAGACTTTGGGTTGTAGATCTCTTTCTTCCTGGGGTAGCTTGGGATGAATGGTGGCTTTTGTTGAGATTCCACAAGCAGCCGTATCAGGTCCTTCCGAAAGACGTTCCAGTTGTTCTCCTTGAGGAACCTCTGGCATAACTCTTCATCACTGAAGGGCAGGCACAGAACTTTAGCCTCTGCCCCTCCATTCCTGCCTCCTGCTCTACTGACCTAATCCCTTCTTCCTATATACCTTCCCTTACACCCTACATGTGTCTACTGAGTACCTGAAATGTGGTCAGCCTGAATTAGAGCTGTAGTGTGGATGTAAAATACATATCAGGTTTCAAGACTTACAACCACCACCAAAAAAGGAATGAAACATATATCAATAATTTTATATTAATATGTCAAAACAATAATACTTTAAAGATTCTTAATCTAGTAAATACATTAAAAATAATTTCTTTTTAGATCTTATAGCTATTAAAAATTTAAATTAAAAATTTACATTAAGGGCTGGGAAGGTGGCTCAGTGGTAGAGTGCCTGCCTTGCATGCATGAGTCCCTGGTTTTGATTACTCAGAACCATATAAGAAGAAAAAGCCAGAAGTGGTGCTGTGGCTTAAGTGGTAAAGTGCCAGTCTTGAGCTGAAGAGCTGAGGGACAGTAGCCAGGCCCACAGTTCAGGCCCCATAACTGACTAAAAAAAAAAATTAAAACTGGGAGAGAGGGTGACATTGTATAAAATGAAATGTACTCTTGGGGCTGGGAAGGTGGCTCAGTGGTAGAGTGCTTGCCTTGTATGCATGAGGCCCTGGGTTCGATTCTTTAGCCCCACATACGCAAGAAAAAGCCAGAAGTGACACTGTGACTTAAATGGTAGAGTGCTAGTTTTGAGCTGAAGAGCTCAGGCCCAGAGTTCATGCTCCACAACTGACAAAAAAAAAGAAAAAGAAAAAAAGAAATGTACTTTCCCCCTCCCCCCTCTTTCTCCCCAAGAAATGTACTCTTGAGGTACACCGGTGGCTCATGCCTATAATCCTGGCTAGTCTGGAGGCTGATATCTGAGGACTGTAGTTTTGAAGCCAGCCTGGCAGGAAAGCCTGAGAGACTATTATCTTCAATAAACTATTCAGAAAAATCCAGAAGTGGTTTTGTGGCTCAAGTGGTAGAGTCCTAGCCTTGAATAAAAGATCAGGGACGGGGCTGGGAAGTTGGCTCAGTGGTAGAGTGCTTGTCTTGCATGCCTGAGGCCCTGGGTTCGATTCCTCAGCACCACATAAGCAAAAAGAAAAAAGCCGGAAGTGGCACTATGGCTCAAGTGGTAGAGCGCTAGCCTTGAGCAGAAGAGCTGAGGGACAGCGCCCAGGCCCAGAGTTCAGGCCCCACAACTGGACCCCCCAAAAAAAAAAAAAAAAAAAAGATCAGGGACAGCACCCAGGCCCTGAGTTCAAGCCCCAGAACTGGTATAAATAAATATTTAAAAAAGTGTAAATTATATTTGTGATCATTAACCACCAAGGAAATCTAAACCAAAATCACAACGAAATACCACTTAGACCCACTAGGATGGCTACCATGATGAAAAGGCTGGCTGTTAAGTTCTGGTGAGGACATGAAATATTAGAATGAGGGTCCTGACACTGACGGGGGCATATAAATGGATGGAGCCACGCCCCTCAGAAGGTTAAACAGCATATGACTGGGCCATTCATTCCTAGGCAGATACCTAGCAGAAATAAAAATATATGTCCATACACAAACTTGAAAAAACAGCTCTACTTCGTACTAAACACATTTCAGGTGCTTAGTCACAGCAGTGGCTACAAGAATGTTCATAACAGCGTAACTCATAATAGCTAAAAATGTGGAAATTGCCCACAGGTTCACTAAATGGCAAGTGGATAAAGGAAGGAGTGTGTATAATGTATGACTCTGTTTCTATGTAATGTCCAAACAGGCAACTCTAGACAGACAGTAGGTTGGTGGTTGCCAACCTACTAAGTCCTGGCCCCTCCCCTCAGAACATGAGAGGTGAGGCATCAGGACAGGCTCAGCACTGTTTGGCTCACTGTAAGAGCAGGGCATATCAAACCTCTGCTGATTTTCCTTCATTGTCCTACCCAATGGGGTAAGACTAACAACTCACTAACAGGTGATAAACAGATTCAGGACATTACTAATCAGAACAAAGTCAACCATGATCCACAGCGATCAACTTAAGGAAAAACAATCTAAAAGTAGAATAGGGTGCAAGCTAGTCCTTTTGGTCTCAGTGATGAGCCAAAGCCAGCTCAAGAAAGCTAACTGGGTTGCACTTCTCAACTCCATGTTTAGTGACATTAGGTTGGCAGCTTGAAACTGTCCATGTGGGCAAATTCATACTACAGAAACGAGCAAACACTGCCAGTGAGGGTGTCTTCTACCTCCAGGACGGCTGGCTGTGAAACATTTACCAGTGTGTCATGGGATAATCTCCCCTTAAAAAATTCCATGAACTCCCAATGTCTTCAATAATGGATAACAATGTCAGACCCTGATCTAGTATTTACCAAACAAGTACTTTACACTGGTTAACTCAATTTTCATACCAATCCATTTAACAAATCTGGAAACTGGGGATCAAAGAAGCAAAGCATGTGATTACGTTTTTTGTTTTGTTTTTTTCTTTTCTTTGCCACTCCTGGGGCTTAAGCCCTGGGCCCAGGCGCTGTCTGAGCTTTTGTGCTCAAGGCTAGTGCTCTACCACTTGAGCTACAGCTCTACTTCCAGATCTTTTGATATTTTTAGTGATGAGTCTTACAGACTTAGCTTAGCTGCCCCACTGACTTTGAACCATGATCTTCGGATTTCAGCCTCCTGAGTAGCTAGGATGATAGGCATGAGTCACCAAGCCCAGCTTGATTACAACTTTTTAGGGCATCATTTTATTTATGTAACCAGAGGCTAAGTTGATACAGACAAGATTCCCCTTTCAGATGCTGATGGACACACTGGTTTCTAGTCTACTTTTCACTAATTAGAACAGCACTCCAGAGCCTCAGCTTGATGAGGGGGTCTGGTATTAATCACATAAGCTGAGGTTTTTCTCCTGTCCTCAGAGGCCTGACACTTCAGACACATAGCCCTTTATACCCTCACCGGACAAGACCAGTGTTAGATCACACTGCTTACTTTGGCCTTGGGGAGTCCCCTGACTTTTTTTTTTTTTTTTTAACAAATGTGGCTCAGGCATAGCATGCCCTGGGTTGTATGGAGATGTGATCTAGCCCATGGTATTGATAGGATATGTAATCTCACCACTAACTCTGTGATCCCTCAACACAGGGATTGAGCTAGATAATGGGTATGTCCTGATTGATTTAGCAGTGTAGGAAACCATGAATTCAACAATGAATGAATAAGGATCCTGCCTGTTAGCATTACAGAATGCTGACTGGACAGTGCAAGGCTGAGAGTTCAAACATCTGTGCAATCATGGCAATGTGAACCTTAGTGGAACTGAAATTTCACAAACACTGACACCAAACCAACCAGGCAGCAATCAAGCTGAGGCTCCTAAGATTTTTCTTTAAGCCATGCTGAGTAGCTGTTTTCCATATTAAAATGTAAGGAACAGAGCAGCGTGACATCTCTGTGCTGGAAGATGCCGCCAGAAACCTTCTACTTATATCACCTGTCCTTTCAATTTGCTTTTGATTAAAAAAAAATCTATCCAGTTTCTCTTACTTAAGGTATCTACTTTAGTTCTGTGTTTTGTTTTTGAGTAATGGGACTTGAACTCTGGGCCTGAGTGCAGTCCCTCAGCTCTTCAGCTCAAGGCTAGCACTCTATGGCTTGAACCACAGCGCCTCTTCCGGTTTTCTGGAGGTTTATTGAAGATAAGAGTTTCACAGCCCTTCCTGCCCGGGATGGCTCTGAACCATAATCCTCAGACCTCAGCCTCCTAAGTAGCTAGGATTACAGGCATGAGCCACTGGTGCCTGGCGGACCACACCAATTTAGAGTGTAAAAACTACCTGTTTCATTTCACCCTTGTCCCAGCATTTGATATCATTTTTTCTTTTACTAAAATAACAAAGAAAAACTTGTTCATGCCATCTGATCAGACATAAACACATTTCCTGCACTGACCTGGGGTAGTCAATCTCGGTACTTAACAATTTTTCTTTTGTTTCATTATCCATCAATTCACAAAATTTTTCTCTTCTCACCCGTATCAGCTCAGCTCCTAGGCTCATAAGACCCATGGGTCGCAAGTCACGTTGGGCCCCTGGGAGGAAGGCCTGGTGAAAACCCTAGAGAAACACAAAAAACTAGCCCTTAGCCCGCAGACAGTTCTACCAGTAGATTTTCCAGGTGGGAAAAACAAGGCCTCAAAGGGAAAAGAGGTCATATAAGGCTGAGGAGTGCTAAAGGGGAGGGGCAATTCAGGGCTGTTCTTGCTACATGCCTGTGCCCCTCTCAAAGCCTCCTTGGACTTCCTGGGGTATCAAGTTCAAACTCCCCACTCTAGCATTGTCATACCTTACATAGCTTCTCCCTGTCAGTCACCATCAACTTGTCCTATTGCACCTCCCTCCATCTGCACAAGGATCCAGAGCATATCCAGCTCCTTCACTTGGTGCCTGTGTTTGTTGAGTTCTGAGCAGCTCTGAAACACTGACAAAGTGCTAAAAAGCAAGGCAATGAGGGGGCTGGAAACTATGCCACATGAAGATCAGTTGGAGGAATGGAAGATGTGCTGCCTGAAGAGGATCCATTAATGGAATATTGGCACTGTGCCTGGCTGCAGAAATGCTCAATGAAAACCAAAACAGCATTCTTGAAATACCTAAGGGGCCATCTAATGGCAAGGGAATATACTTCTGTTTTGTTTGGGGGTGGGGAGGGTGAAAAAGGAACTAGTTTAAAGTTGCAGACCACCTCTGTGACTCTGGCCAGTGAGAGAGAAGAGAGTATGAAACACAGCAGGAGAAAGAAGGACAGAGAGATGACCTTGGAAACACTGTAACTAAGGAACAGTTGAAAGTGCCTGTAGATGGAGCACCTTCCTAGGCCCCAGATGACCAAACACAGTGACTTAAGAAAATGAGCCCTTCCCAGTCAGGCTGAGAAAGGCCTTTGGCCAGTTCCACCTCTGCCAACTTCTCAGCTTCACATCTACCACCATCCCCAGCAGTGGTCAGCTCATAGCCATGTTTGTTTCATCCATACCCATTCCCCTGCTACTAGATTAATTTTGCTCTGTGTGTATGTGTGTGTGTGTCCGCACATGCGTGCAAGCACGCTGTTCCTAGGGCTTGAACTCTCAAGTGCTCTATCACTTGTGTCAAAGCTCTACTTATGGCCTTTTTGATGGTTAACTGTTATGGCTTTGAACTACAAGCCTCAGATATCAGCCTCCTGAATAACTATGATGAGCCCCCAGAACCCAGCTTGTAATGAACTGTTTTAGAGCAGTTTTAGGTTTACAGAAAAACGGAAAAGATTATCAGCTCCCATTCACTCTACACCCAGTTTCCCATTACCAGCATATTACATAAATATGATGTCTTTGTTACACTGAAGAAACCACTACTAATGTATTATTAACCCAAGTCAATGAGTTAATTTGTTTTTAACCTAATGTTGTTTTCTGGTAAACTATTCAGGATATATTTAATTATTGTGTCTCTTCAGCTACCTCTTAGTGGTGACAGTTTTAGACTTACTTTTCCAGTATGAAAAGTTACCCATCAGGAATTTTGTAGGATGTGATACTTTTCTTTTGCTTATTATATAGGGGTTATGGGCTATTAAAAGGATGAAAAGAGAAGTGATGAGCTACCTTGCTCAAGGCTAGTGCTCTACCACTCTAAGCTATAGTACCACTTCTGGTTTTCTGAGGGTTAAATGGAAATAAGTCTCATGGACTTTCTTGCCCAAGCTGGCTTTGAACCATAATCTTCAGATTTCAGCCTCCTGAGTACCTAGGATTATAGGTGTGAGCCACTGGTACTGGCTTAAAGTGCCATTTTCATCACATCACATCCAAGGCAACACTGTGTATGAGAATTGATGTTGGCCTTTCATCACCTGGCACCTTTCTCCCCCTTTCCATTCTGTTCTCTTCAGAAGGAAGTCAACGTGAACAGCTCATACCTAAGTATCAAGAGTCATGCCTCCCTCAAGGGCAAGGTATCTGAAAAGTTATGTGGAATTATTCTGCAAGGAAATTTGTCTCTTCTCCATTTACTAATTTTCCTGTTGACTCATTTATATCAATATGTGTTCATGATGTTTAATTTACACTTTGGGTTGGCAATTCAGTAGTTTTGTTACTCAAGTTATTCCAGCTTTGACCAGTGGGAGCTCTTTTATTAACCTTCAGATTCCTTTGATTTCAAAGCCTTCCCATATAGGTTTTATGTTCTAAACACTTTCTTGTTTTCAGGCATGACAAAATGTTCTAGGCACATCTTACCTATTTCTTGTACCAGAAGCATCCACCATTTCTCCAAGGATTTCTTGTTTCCTTTTTTCTTTTTTTGGTTGGTTGTAGGGCTTCAACTCGGCCTGGGAGCTGTCCCTGAGCTCTTCAGCTCAAGGCGAGAGCACTCTACTGCTTGAGCAACAGCGCTACTTCCAGTTTTCTAGTAGTTTATTGGAGATAAAGAGTCTCACGGACTTTCCTGCCCGGGCTGGCTTTGAACCATGATCCTCAGATCTCAGTTTCCTGAGTAGCTAGGATTTACAGGCATGAGCCACTGGCACCTGACTTCTTGTTTCTTTTTTTAGGAAATCTTAGAAATTAAGATTTGACTTATTCCGGCTCATCTAGTCTTTTACAAGAAGGACATTCTAGCCAGGCGCTAGATCTTGAGTTTGTAGCTTTCCTTGGCTATGCAGAGAGAATATGAGGCCAATTTGGGCTAAAGAGCGATATTTGGTCTCATTAAAACAAATTAAAAAATTGATTCGTCATAAAATTCTATGGGCTTTAGCCAGATAATGGTGGCTCAATTAATCCTAGCTATTCAGGAAGCTGAGATCTGAGGACTGCCAGCCCACACAGGAAGGTCTAGGGTACTTTTTTTTTTTTTTGGTCCAGTCATGGGTCAGCTCAAGGCTACTGCTCTACCACTCCAGCCACAGCGCCACTTCCAGCTTTTTTCTTTCTGCTTATGTGGTGCTGGGGAATCGAACCCAGGGCCTCATGCATGCAAGGCAAGTGCTCTACAACTGAGCCACCTTCCCAGCCCCTGCACTACCATTTTTTTTTTTTTTTTGTCGGTCGTGGGGCTTGAACTCTGGGCCTGGGTGCTGTCCCTCAGCTCTTCAGCTCAAGGCGAGTGCTCTACCACTTGAGCTACAGCGCCACTTCCGGTTTTCTGGTGGTTTATTGGAGATAGGAGTCTCACGGTCTCACCTGCCCGGGCTGGCTTTGAACCGCGATCCTCAGATCTCAGCCTCCTGAGTAGCTAGGATTACAGGCTTGAGCCACCAGCGCCCGGCCCCTGCACTACCATTTTGAGCCACAGTACCACTTGCTGTTTTCTTGTGGTTAATTGGATGTAAGAGTACCCTATACGGGCTGGGAAGGTGGCTCAGTGGTAGAGTGCTTGCCTTGCATGCATGATGCCCTGGGTTCGATTCCTCAGCACCACATAAGCAGAAAAAAAAAAAAAACCGGAAGTGGCGCTATGGCTGGAGTGCTAGCCTTGAGCTGAAGAGCTGAGGGACAGCACCCAGGCCCAGAGTTCAGGCCCCACGACCGGACCGCAAAAAACAAAAAACAAAATGGTAGTGCACTAATTTTTTTTTTTGTCGGTCGTGGGGCTTGAAATCTGGGCCTGGGCGCTGTCCCTCAGCTCTTCAGCTCTAGGCGAGCGCTCTACCACTTGAGCTACAGCGCCACTTCCGGTTTTCTGGTGGTTTATTGGAGATAGGAGTCTCACGGTCTCTCCTGCCTGGGCTGGCTTTGAACCGCAATCCTCAGATCTCAGCCTCCTGAGTAGCTAGGATTACAGGCGTGAGCCACCAGCGCCCAGCTAGTGCATTAATTTTTATGCAAAGAGCTCAGGGACAGTACCCAGACCCTGAGTTCAAGCCCCACAACTAAACAAAAATAAATAAAAAATAAAATAAATTCTATACAATTTAAAAAGTGATGGCTTTATTTCTGCCATCACAGTGTCAAACAGAATAATTTTACTGTGCCTGAAGTCCCCTGCACTTTCTCTATTCATCTTTTGTTGTTGTTGTTGGTTGTGGAGCACTCAGGGCCTGAGTTCTGTCTCTGAGCTCTTTTTGCTCAAGGCTAGTACTCTATCACTACCTGAGCCACAGTGGCACTTCTAGCTTTTTCTGAGTAGTTTATTAGAGATAAGAGTTTCACAGACTTTCCTGCCTAGGGCTGGTTTTGAACCACAATACTCAAATCTCAGCCTCCTGACTAGCTACCAGCACCCGGCTTTGTTTTCTTTTAAAACAAGATCATATTATGTAGCCTAGGCTTGCCTCAAATCCCCATCTTCTGCCCTAGCCCCCTGAGTGCTGGGAATATAGGTATATACTACCACATTAGCCTCCTTGGCTTCTTTAATCTTTTATGTAGTTTTACATATATGTTCTTTGTGTACGTAGATGTGTGTGTATGTAGAGAGGTACTGGGGACCAAACCTAGTGCTTTACACATGCCAAGTATGGGTTTCACCATTGAGCTACATACTCAGCATGTACATTCTCAACATATTTTGTTGGGTTTATAGCTAAGAATTTGTGTGTGTGTGTTGGTTCTGACAGCTTGAAATTAGGGCCTCATGCTCTCCCTAGATTATCTGCTCTATGATGGCACTCTACTATGTTACCGCATCCCCCCACTTCCAGTTTTTGGCTGGCTAACAAACAATAGGAATCTCTTGGATTTGTCTGCCTAGCAATCCTCAAATCTCAGACACCTGAGTAGCAATGATTACCCACCAGTGCTCAGCCCAGAAATTCATGTTTTTTCTGGAAGTGGTGCTGTGGCTTAAGTGGAGAGTAACAGCCTTGAGAGAAAGAATATCAGGGACAATATCCAAAAGCCCTAAGTTCAAACCACTTCTGGACTGTCACATACACACAAACACACAAAAAAGAATCTGAACATTTTAGTTGAGTACCAGTGGCTCATGCCTATAATTCTAGCTACTCAGGAAGCTTAGATCTGAGGGCTGCAATTCCCAGCCAGCCTGGGCTGGAAAGTCCATGAGACTCTTATCTCCAATAAACTACTCAGAAAAAGCCGGAAGTGGCACTGTGGCTCAAGTAGTAAAACACTAGCCTTGAACAAAGAGAGGCTCAGGGACAGAGCCCCGGCCCTGAGTTCAATTCCAATTTTCATTGCTAGAATAAGGAAAACAACTGTCTTTAACATCAATCCTCTATCCACCAGCCTCATTGGAATTACTTACTAGTTCGGAAATGGATTCTTTGGAATTATCTACATAGATAATCACGTTGTCTGAAAATAAAGTCAATTTTATTTCTTCCTTCCTTCTTGCCTATATACTTTTTATTCCCCCCCCCCCCCCCCCCCCCCCCGCTTAATGTATGACTTGCTAGGAGTCTCAGGATAATGTTGGACAAGAGCCAGGCACTTGCAGGCTCATGCCTGTAATGCTAGCTAATCATGAGGCTGAAACCTGAGGATCATGGTTTGAAGCTAGTGCAGGCAGGAAAACCCTGAGAGACTTATCTCCAATTAACCACCAAAAAAGTCAGAAGTGGAAATGTTGCTCAAATGGTAGAGTGCTAGCCTTGAGCAAAAACCCACAAAGACTACAGGACTGGAGTTCAAGTTCCAGGACCAGTACAAAAACAACAAAACAAAATGTTGGTCTGGAGTGGTAACAGAGAACATCCTTGCCTTACTACTTGTTGATTATTTATTTATTTATTTGTCGGTCATGGGGCTTGGACTCTGGGCCAGAGCACTGTCCCTCAGCTCTTCAGCTCAGGCTAGTGCTCTACCACTTGAGCCACAGAGCCACTTCTGGTTTTCTGGGGGTTTATTGGAGATAAGAGTTTTGCAGCTTTGTCTGCCCGGGCTGGCTTTGGACCATGATGCTCAGATCTCAGCCTCCTGAGTAGCAAGGATTTACAGGCGTGAGCCACTGGCGTGGCCTTGTTGATTATTTTATTTTTATATTTAGAGAGAGAGAGGAAGGAAGGAAGGAAGAAAGGAAGGGAGGGAGGGAGGGAGGGAGAGAGGGAGGAAGGGAAAGGAATATCTTGTGTTTCAGAAGGAACATGATCTGGTGACTTTAGACTTCTAGCCTGCAGAAATGTAAGTTAAAAATCTGTTTTGTTTCTTTTTGCTTATGTGGTGCTGAGGAATCGAACCCAGGGCCTCATGCAAGCGCTCTACCACTGAGCCACCTTCCCAGCGCCCTTGTTGATTATTTTAAAGCAAGTTCTGTGGGAATATCACTTCATCTATAATTGTGTGTGTGTGTGTGTGTGTGTGTGTGTGTGTGTGTGTGTGTGTGTGTCTGTGTGTTTTGCTGGATTCAAACCCAAAGCTTATAAATGCTAGGCAAACATTCCACAACTAAGCATCATTCCTTCCCCCTCACCACCTACCTATCTACCAACCTATATACCCCTCCCTCCCCCCACTTTTTTTTTCTTTTTTTGGTCAGTCATGGGGCTTGAACTCTGGGCCTGGGAGCTGTCTCTGAGTTCTTCAGTTCAAGACAAGTGCTCTACCACTTGAGCCACAGTGCCATTTCTGGTTTTCTGCTGGTTAATTGGATAAGAGTCTCACGGCCTTTCCTGCCCGGGCTGGCTTTGAACTGTGATCCTCAGATCTTAGCCTCCTGAGTAGTTTGGATTACAGGCTTGAGTCACTGGCACCCAACACGATCTGTGTACCTTTCTAATCTTCTTCTTTTTTTTTTTTTTTGCCAGTCCTGGAGCTTGAAATCATGGCCTGGGCTCCCTGAGCCTCTCTGTGCTCAAGGCTAGTGCTCTACCACTTGAGCCACAGTGCTACTCCCAGCTTTTTCCCCCCTGTTTATGTGGTACTGAGGAATTGAACCCAGGGCTTCATGCATGCTAGGCAAGCACTCTACCACTAAGCCACATTCCCAGCACCATTCTGACTTTTTGAACTCACAATCTTCCTGAGTGAAGCCTCCCAAGTTTTGGGATTATAGGGATTATATTATACCTAGCTCATCTTTAAGTATTTTGACATTTATCTTCAAAATATAAGAACTTTTTGGGAAAAAAATAGCCACAATATACTTCTACCCTTTTAAAAATCAACAGTATTTCCAAGTATCATCAAATATAGAGGGATGTTTCTAAATCTCTCAGTGCCCAACACTCCCAGCCCAATCATTTTACACACTACATCATGAACAGAGCTCCCTGTGCACTTACCACAGTTTCTCCTTCTTCCACAGTATGGACTTTCATATAGACCCCCACTACAGCCTCCTTGGGGAGCTCACCAAACTTGGTATTGACCATAGAACATTTGATTGGATAAGGAAACCTGGATCTGAAACATGAAAGCTTGTTAGAGAGAACTCTAACGCACAGCTCATAAGGTTTGAGTAATCACCCTGACTACTGCACACTGAGAACCCTTGCCTCCTGAAGGTGAGAAAATTCAAAATGAAGCTCTGACACAGATCAAACAGTCAGGAGCTGGAGAAGTGGAATAGGGAGGAGACTTAGGAACAAGGACTCCTTACACACCTGAAAGCTGTTTACTTAAAGGGCTGATGATCTCATGAGTGGAACTAGGCCTGATGGGTTAGAAGTCTAGAGAGTCCAAGGGATCTGGATAAGGGTTGGTACTCAGGATTATTTGGTGGAGGAAGGAATATCTAAGAGTCAGAGCTGTCTAGAAATGGAAAAGATTGCTATATCCTTGGTTACAGCAGCAAAACTAGGGGCTCTTTTGGACAGGAAGACAGAGGAGAGGTGATTTGTCTGTTTCCCTGGGTAGGCTACAGACCCTAGACCTTGTTAATAGTAGGTTTAATTTCACACATACAATCCATTGTGCTTTCTTTGGTGGTTTTATAAATTACAAGGGATAGAAGGTTATGCTGTTGGGATGATAAAGATTATTTCCCAGATTTGAACACTCGCTCTTCCTACCTCTGTGACCTTGAACAAGCAACTCACCCTCTGTACCCTTTGTTTTCTCACCTAAACAATGAAGTGATAATAATAGCACTCCTAGAGTTTTTGTGAGGATTAAATTAGATAATACAGTAATAGGTACAGAAGCATTCTGTGTCACCTATAATAGTTATTACTCCATTTGCCTGGCTTGCAACAACCCTGGGACTTTCTATTAAGACATAAGACTTGAAGCTGGGTGCTGGTGGCTCACGCCTGTAATCCTAGCTACTCAGGAGGCTGAGATCTGAGGATCAGGGTTCAAAGTCAGCCCGGGCAGGGCAGGAAAGTCTGTGAGACTCTTATCTCCAATAAACCACTGGAAAACAGGAAGTGGCAACCGGAAGCGGCTTTGTGGCTCCAAGCGGTAGAGCGCTCGCCTTGAGCTGAAAAGTGCAGGGACAGCGCCCAGGCCCAGAGATCAAGTCCCACAACCGACCAAAAAGAAAAAAAAAAAAAAAAACATAAGACTTGAGAGGTCAACAGCCAAAATATGTGTCCAAGCCAGATTGAGAACCTGGGTTGAGCCAACTGATAATCAGGCTCTAATCTGCTGTGCTACAGTGTGCTCTTAGCAGAACAGAATTTCTGAAGAAGCTCTAGTAATACATATAAAGAGCCAGAAGATTTTTCCTGCTGCTTTCCTTAAATGGGTTACTGAGGTCAGAGAAAAGATGTAGCTGACTGCCAAAAAACAGTGGGCCTGTTAGTTTGAGGCAGAGAACACAGGTCCTGGATGTCAAACTTAGGACTTTTCTATGCTATCTTCTACATGTGCCCACCCCGCTGGGGATAGCCTATCTGCCACCTCTACTTCCTTCCCAGAATCCCTGACATTCTGTTCTATAAGTTATTACCCCTTCTACAATCAAATCTGTAGAGCTGGGGATATAGCTCAGAGAGATAATGCCTGCTAGAAAACATAAGGCCTTGGGAAGAGAAAAAAAAAAACCAAGCCACACTAAGTCTTTTATTTGCTAAGAGCTGAGCTTACCTGATCTTAGGGCCCATTATCTTTGGCAGAGTATTTTCTGGGTCTTGGAACCTCTCATTTAAACTTGTCCCCTCTTGCTCACAAGCTTTCTGGAGATGTAGGAGTTTCAAAGCAGTGAAGTCCTGTAGAGGATATGATTTAATCTGGAATTCTTTAAATCTCTTCTCAGGATATGGTTCTGTTAGAGAAAGCCCAGGAAAGCACATTAAATGGGTATTTGCAATGTAACAGTGTAGTTTATAGTAACCTGCCTTCAATAACATGGCAATAAGAGAATGTAGAAGAAAAGAAAAACATGATAGCCTCCATGTAATGTCCTTTGGTGTGTACCCTATGCTTGAACTTTCCATCCAGAGAAGTACAATTAGGCAGAAAAGAGGTAATATGAACATCACAGATAACAAGTTGCCTTGAATAGGGTTGAAGTTGTATTTAAACTAAGATCTATTTGCTTCAAAGCTTGTATCTTTCTATTAATAGATCATATTTTCCCTGGCTTTCAAACTGGCCTTCCAAATTAGGACACAAAGGGGGTTTATAGTACAGTACTTGCCTAGCATAAAAAAGGTCCTGGGTTCAATATTGGGGAAGATACAGTAATAAGAGATGGGTGAGATAGATGCCAGTGGCTCATATCAGTAATCCTCCTAACAAATCTCAGGAGACTGAGATTTGAGGATCATAGTTTGAAGCTAGCCTGAGCAGGAAAGTCCATGAGACACCTATTCTCCAGTTAAGCAGCAAAGAGCCCAAAGTGGAGCTGTGGCTCAAATGGTAGAGCACCAGCCTTCAGCTAAAATGCTCAGGTATAGTATCCAGGCTCTGAATTCAAGCCCCAGTGCCTGCACCAAAGAGAGGGAGTGGGGCGGGATGACTGGCACAGAACTTTGGTTAAATCATGTAATCTGTAGAGCCCCGCTCACTCCTGCTGCTGCCTCCACAGCATTATTGAAAGAATTACAGGGTAACAGAGGGGCTGAGTTTGCATGTATGGAAATATCACAATGAAACCCCTTCATACACTAACTGTATGCTAACAAAAAGAGAAAGAATGAATTACAGATAAAGTAGTAGATGCCTAGGATAATGCTAGCATATAACAGGCCCTCCATACAGTTATTGAAAAGAAATATTGTTTGGAAATAATGAACAAATCAACTACTCTAAAATAGTATGCTTAAAATAGTATGCTTAGTGGAAGAATCCAGACACCAAAGACTTCAAACTGGTTGATTCCACTTCCATGGAACCCCAGGAAAGAGAAGCCTAATGTATAGTGAAAGTGGTTGCCTAGGCCAGGGTTGAGAGGTGGCTAGGAAGGGCCAAGAGGGAGCTTGCTAGGGAGGGAGAGAAGGAGAGAGGAAGAAAGGGGAGAAGGGATCGGAGGAGAGAGAGAGAAAAGCCTGACTAATAATAATAAAAAAAGTAACCTAGCAGGGTGCTGGTGGCTCACGCCTGTTAATCCTAGCTACTCAGGAAAGCTGAGATCTGAGGATCTCAGTTCAAAGCCAGCCTGGGCAGGAAAGTCCGTAAGACTCTTATATCCAATAAACCACTAGAAAACCGGAAGTGGCACTGTGGCTCAAGTGGTAGAGTGCTCGCTTTGAGTTGAAGAGCACAGGGATAGCACCCAAGCCCAGAGTTCAAGCCCCACGACCAACCAAAAAAAAAAAAAAAGAAGTAACCTAGTTTTTTTCTGTACTGCTGCTAAGAAAATGCACTTTAAGCTGGGCACCATGGCTCACATTTGTAATCCTATCTACTCAAAGAGGCTGAGATATAAGGACTGCAGTTCAAAGCCAGCCCAGGCAGGAAAGTCTGTGAGAGTCATCTCCAATTAACCACTAAAAAAAGCCAGAAATGGAGTTGTGGTTCAAGTGGTTCAAGAGTACTTAGACATGAGCACAAAAGCTTAGGTTCAGCATCCAGGCCCTGAGTTCAAGCCTCAGGACTGGCACAAAAAAAACAAAACTAAACTAAAACCCCCACTTCACCCCTGCCCCCAGCTCCTTCAGCACTGGGATTTAAACTTAAGGCCTTTCATTTTGCTAGGCAAGCACTCTATCTCCAGCAAGAAATTCACTTTACACATACAAATAAAATAAACATAGAAGGATACAAAAAAGATATATCAAACTAATATTAATCATAAGGAAGTTAAACTAAATCAAAAGAAGTGGCTAAATTAGTATTAAAAAAAAAAAAGAGGGCTGGGAATGTGGGTTATTGGTAGAGTGCTTGCCTAGCATGCATGAAGCCCTGGGTTCAATTTCTCAGTACCATATAAACAAAAAAAGCCAGAAGTGGTGCTGTGGCTCAAGTGGTAGAGCACTAGCCTTGAGCAAAAGAAGCTTAGGGAGTCGGGCGCTGGGTGGCTCTCGTCTGTAATCCTAGCTACTCAGGAGGCTGAGATCTGAGGATCACGGTTCAAAGCCAGCTCGGGCAGGAAAGTCCATGAGACTCTTACCTCCAATAAACCACTCGAAAACTGGAAGTGGCGCTGTTGCTCAAACAGTAGGCCTTGAGCTAAAACGCATAGGGACAGGGCCCAAGCCCAGAGTTCAAGCCCCACGACCAAAAAAAAAAAAAAAAAAAAGCTCAGGAACAATGCCCAGGCCCTGAGTTCAAGCCCCAGTAATCTTGGCTACTCAGGAGGCTGAGATCTGAGGGTCACAATTCAAAGCCAGCCCAAGGCAGAAAAGTCTGTTAGACTCATCTCCAAATTATCACTGGAAGTGGAGCTAAGGCTAAAAGTGATATACAGCACTAGCCTTGAGCAAAAAGAACTCAGTGACAGTGCCTAAGCTCTGAGCTGAGTTCAAGCCCCAGGACTGGTCCTCCCTCCCCCAAAAAAGGTTTTAGAGCAAAGAAATTAATTTTATTTATTTATTTATTGTTGGTTGTGGGGCTTGGGCTCTGTTCCTCAGCTCTTCAGCTCAAGGTGAGCGCTCTACCGCTTGAGCCACAACGCCACTTCTGATTTTCTAGTGGTTCATTGGAGATAAGAGTCTCATGGATGTTCCTGCCTGGGCTGGCTTTGAACCGAGATCCTCAGATCTCAGCCTCCTGAGTAGCTAGGATTACAGGTGTGAGCCACCAGCGCCTGGCCTTAGAAATTAAGTTTATAGTGATACAGAATTCAAGTCTAACCATCAATTCTCTAAAAGATAAAACTTCAAAATACATGAAGCAAAATAGGATAGAAATGCAAGGAGAAAATATATCTACAATTATGTACAATTGGAAATGTTTACAACTCTTTATTAACAATCAATATAGCAAGTAGAGAAAGATAGGAAGGATACAGATGACTAAGGCTACAGACTAACTTTGATTAACATTCATAGCACATTGCATCCAATGGCAGCATATTCTTTTGATATGTAAATGAAGCATTTACCAAAATAGATTATATTCTGGGCCATAAAACAAGTTTCTATATATCTAAAAACATTCCAACTACCCAAAGTATTTTATTTTAGAAATCAAAAAGAGGAAGATGGTTGAATAGTCCCAAAATATTTGGAAACCTTTCTAAATATTCAATGGGTCAAAGATGAAGAAATTAAAAGGGAAATTGAAAAATATTTTGAACTGAATGACAATGAAAACATGACATTATCAAAATCTCTAGTAGTTTGGCAGTAGAAAAGACAAAATGACAGGACTGACATCTAGTAAACATTTACTAAGCCCCATGAATATACATCATTCATTTCAGCCTCCCTGTAGCCACATGACAATGATAACTAACGTAACTAATGCATCCAGGTAGAGTTTTGTATGTTAGCAGGCTTAATATTCTAACAATCCTATAAGGTAGGATTGTAATTCATGTTTTACAGACCCTGAGGACATGGCATATGGAACAGAGTCACTTGTCCAACATCACAAAGGGTGCTAGTCATTGGAATCAGCTGGGCCAGGACTCTGAAGTCCTCCATTGTTATTACTCCTATGATCTGAAGAAAAGAGTCACTGCTCTTCCTCAGTTTCTATACCTGTCAAATGGAGATATAATCACACCTTCTTGAAAAGCTAATATAAACTGTTAAGCTAGATACTTGGTATACAATCATTAATGCTGCTACCCCTATTAATGTATTTATGAGTTTGGGTAGAATCTAGAGATTGTCTATGAACATTTGCAGCTTGGGATGCATCTAAAACCAGACACAGTAGCTAACTGAGTTGCTTCTGAGTAGCTACTAGATGCCAGGAATGGCCCTAAGCCCTGAGAATATAAAGTCCTTATAGGGCTTAAATTCCAAGGAGACAGCTATTTAATAATCTTGGAGTCGATTATATTTCAGTGGGGTTAAATGGCATAGAAGAGAAAAGCAGAGTACGTGAATGGGCTATAATGAGGAAAGAAGATGCTGATCCAGCATTAGAATCAGGGAGAATTCCTGGGGGAAAGAATGTTTAATCTAAAATTTAAATGGCAGAAATGATCTAGGCAAAAGAGGAAAGGGAGGGAAAAGGATGTGTGAGGCAAGGAGTAGACAGCCACAAGGCAGAACCTGCTGAGCACAACGGAAGAGGCTGGAAAGGAGGCAGGGCCTAAAAACCAGGTTCCCATGACTGGTAGAAGAAGGAATCAAACCAGACATCCTGTCTGGCCCTTTGAGCTCCAGATGTCTGGAATTCTTCGGGCTGGAAACTAGAGCCAGGCGATGCCTGGATATTCCCTGCTGTGCTGCTGGCTGACAGATGTGGCCATCTGGCTTACCCTTGAGGTGAGCCCTCAGAGGTCTGTCGTCTATCAGCTCCAGACACTGCCAGATCCACTTGTAATAGGAAAGTGAGGAGGCAAGGTCTACCAGCCTCAAGATTTCACAGCTGCCCTGTACACATAGAAGAACACAAACACAGGGTTAAGCTGGGATGCTTCTGCTTGACCAGGCTCTCAAATAAGCCCTCTGTATTGTATCTGACCCCATTTTGTTTTATTTGCTCAATGCAGTTGTTTCATGTTCCTTTGTTTTCTTTAAAATTTTTTTTTATTATCTTTAAGTAGTTGTACAAAGAAGTTCCCATTCTACAAAACAGTATGAGTACAAGGTGTCTGACATTGTCCTTTGTTTTCTTAATAAAAATATTAGCTTGCCATAAAAAGTCAAACAGCTAAAGTAGCAAAAAACAAATACAATGCTAACACGAACAAGTATCACAATGAAGGTCATTATTGGGGCAGTTTACAGTGAAATGCACTATAAACTTGCCAATTATACAGGTCTATGAATACTAAAATTCTCTGCATTTTGCAATTATTCTGTGGCTAATTTCTGGTATCAGAAAATAGTCACAGGCAGAACTCATGCCTATTTGTAGCTAGTTGGGAGGCAGACAATGAGAGAACCATGGTTTAAGACCAGGCCAGACAAAAACTGAGAGTTTGTTTCAGATAATATCCTAGAGACATTCCAGCTACATGGGATGCTGTAGGTAGGAGGATCAAAGTCTGTGAGGCCCATTCCAAGCAAAAACTTGAGACCCTATCTGTTATAAATAGCTGAGTGGGGCTGGGAAGGTGGCTCAGTGGTAGAGTGTTTGACTTGCACGCATGAGGCCCTGGGTTTGATTCCTCAATACCATGTAAGTAGAAAAATCTGGAAGTGGTATTGTGGCTCAAGTGGTAGAGTGCTAGCCTTGAGCTGAAGAGCTGAGGGACAGTGCCCAGGCCCAGAGTTCAATCCCCACAGTTGACAAAACAAACAAAACCCAACTAGCTGAGGGTGTGGCTCAAGTGGTTGAGGGCCTCCTTAGCAATCTCAAGAATGAATTCAAACCCTATTACTGCCCCCACCAACCATCAAGTTAACAGGATAGATGAGCACAATGAATGAAACTTAATTCTTAATTTAGGCAGTGAAAAACATGAAAGCAAATTGGCAAAACATTAACTGGTGGTTTGGATGAATATTCTGAAGTTCTTTGTATTGCTCTTATAATTTTTTCTATAAATTTAAAATTATAATTAAAATTTATACAATTATTCAAAGCAACATTAAAACTACATTAATTAACTACATTAATGTAGTTAAAACTACATTAATTCGCTGGGTACCTGCTGCTCATGCTTGTATTCCTAGCTACTCAGGAGGCTACAATCTGAGAATCATAGTTTAAAGCCAGCCCAGGCAGACAAATCCTTAAGACTCTTATCTCCAATAAACTATCAAAAAGAAGCTAGAATCTGTAGAGCTGTAGCTCAAATGGTAGAGCTAGCTTTGAGCAAAAAGATATTCTCAATATATTAGTTCAAAAAGTTTACAAGCCTACTGAATAACTCACTTAAAAAAACTTACCATGTACCATTTGTATGTATATAGAGAAAATCTAGAAAAAACATTCTCTAATGTTACTACTAATTATTTCTGGATATTAGAATATAGGTTTTGTTTGTTTGGTCAGTCCTGAGGCTTGAACTCAGGGCCTTGGTGCTGTTCTCTGAGGTTTTTTGTTTTTTTTTGTCAGTCATGGGGCTTGAACTCTGGGCCTGGGCACCGTCCCCCAGCTCTTCAGCTCAAAGCAAGTGCTCTAACACTTGAGCCACAGCACCACTTCTGGATTTCTGGTGGTGGTTTATTGGAGTTAAGAGTTTTATGTATTTTCCTGCCCGGGCTGGTTTTGAACCATGATCATCAGATCTCAGCCTCTTGAGCAACCGGTGCCCAGCTTTATTAAATATTATTATTTAGCTGTTCTTAACTTGTCAGTAATATATAAATGACTCTTAATTTTGTTCAGGAAAACAAAGTCCCCAGTTTTAAAACAAAACCTCACCATCTTCCCTGCAATGGGGTGACAATGACCTAGTTTTTTTTTTTAGGTCCGGTCGTGGGGCCTGAACTCTGGGCCTGGGAGCTGTCCCTCAGCTCTTCAGCTCAAGGCTAGCAATTTATCACTTGAGCCACAGCGCCACTTCGGCTTTTTTCTTTTTGCTTATGTGGTGCTGAGGAATCGAACCCAGGGCCTCAGGCATGCAAGGCAAGTGCTCTACCACTGAGCCATCTTCCCAGCCCTGACAATGACCTAGTTCTGTTCAATGAAATGTAAGTGTAAGGAGCTGGGAAGGTGGCTTAAGTGGTAGAGTGCATGCCTTGCATGCATGAGGCCCTGGGTTTGATTCCTCAGTACCACATACGCAGAAAAAGCCGGAAGTGGCTCTGTGGCCCAAGTGGTAGAGCGCTAGCCTTGAGCTGAAGAGCTGAGGGACAGTGCCCAGGCCCTGCGTTCAGGCTCTATAATGGGATTAAAAAAAAAAGTGTATGACTGCTGGATAAAACTCCCAGGAAAGTCATTACTATCTTTTCTCCTTTGCCTTGCTGCTTTTATTTCCTTTAGACATGATGGCTACAGAAGTAGCAGCTACACTGTGAATACTAGGATGATAGGATGAATAATAGGGCAAGGAAAACCAGGAGGAAGCCTGAGTTTTGGCGGGCTTTCTACAACAGTTCTAAACTTGTAATACTTAGTTCTAGATGGATTATTACATGAAAAAATAAGTTACTATTTAGCCACTTGCATGTGGTTACAGACAGCAGGTATGATATGTATATATCATAATTCTTAGAGGAGAGAGAAAAAGAGAGAAGAGAACATGAGAATCTCAATGGCCTGGGTCCTGAGTAACCATGAGAAGCAAGTCTTTCTGTTTTTGTTTTGTCGGTCATGGGGCCTGAACTCTGGGCCTGGGTACTGTCCCTCAGCTCATAAGCACAAGGCTAGCACTCTACCACTTGAGCCACAGCTCCACCTCCTTTTTTTTTCTGCTTATGTTGTGCTGAGGAATTGAACCTAGGGTCTCATGCATGCAAGGCAAGCACTCTACCACTGAGCCACCTTCCCAGCCCCAGCAAGTCTTTCTGGTTACCTGCTTTGGGCAAGTAATGTGATGAAGGAATAAATCTTGGTTAGTCACTCTATTAAGACTTGAAGAATGCTTATAACTACAACATAGTTTATCCTAGCTTAATATCCACATCTAATTATCTCTTTGAGAATATTTCCTAAAGGTATCCATGTTTTAAATTTTGTCAAACTGCCCTCCAGAGAAGTTAACTCAAGCTAGATGCTTGCGGCTCACACTTATAATCTTAGCTACTTAGGAGGCTAAGATCTGAGGACTAACGTTTGGAAACAACCTGGAAAGACATTTCCTCAAGACTTTTATCTCCAAATAACCAGTAAGAAGCTAGGCTCAAGTAGTAGGGCAACAGTCCTGAACAAATTTCAAGGCCCTGAGTTTAAATTCCAGCACTGGCATTAAAAAAAAAAAATGGTTCGTGGCTGGGAAGGTAGCTCAGTGGGAGAGCACTTGCCTTGCATGCCTGAGGCCCTGGGTTCGATTCCTCAGCACCACATAAGCAAAAAAAAAAAAAAAAGCCTACATGTAAAAAAAAAATGGTTCATAGAAGTGGTACTATGGCTTAAGTAGTAGGTTTGCCTCTAGCTGAAGAGCTGAAGGAAAACCCTTTTAAAATGTTGTCAGGCACCGGTCTCATACCTATAATCCTAGCTACTCAGGAGGCTGAGACCTGATGATCACAGTTCAAAGCCAGCCCAGGCAGGAGTCTGTGAAACTCCTATTAACCACCAGAAAACAGGAATTGGCACTGTAGTTCCAGTGGCAGAGAGCTCGCCTTAAGCTGAAGAGCTGAGGGAGTTTCCCAAGCCCAGATTTCAAGCCTCACAATGAACAACAACAAAACAAAAAAACCCAATGGCTCATTATTTACTCCCACAACAGTACATGGCAGAACTTTTTACGATGTGAAAATCTTTGCCGACACTATGTTTTCATAGTCTTTTTTGTTGTTGTTGGTGGTGGTCATGGGGTTTAAATTTAGGGCCTGGGCACTATGAGCCATCACTTTTAATTTTCAGGTAGTTAACTGGATATGAGTATCTTAGAATTCCTGCTCAGGCTGGCTCTGAACTGGGATCCTGAGATCTCAGTCTTCTGAGTTGCTAGGATTACAGGTGTGAGCCATCAGTACCTGACTTCATAGTCCTTTTATTTTGACAATTTGACAGGCAAGAAAGATGTGTCATGGCTGTGAGCTCAGTAGTGAAGCACTTGCCCAGCATATATGGAGCAAGAGGGAAAAAGAGAGAGACAAGAGAGGCAAGGAGAGAAGAAGGAAAAAAAGGAAGGAGGAGGGAAATAAAAGGAAAAGGAGAAAAGAAAGGGAAAAAGAAGAAAGGAAGAAAGAAGAAGAGAGAAGAAAAGAGGAGAGGTAATTTCTCTTTTTAAATTTCCTATCTTTATAAAATCTTACTTTTAAGTAGGATCTCTAAGAGAAACATTATGAATTTTTGTAGTTAAAGATAGATTCCTTTTGACAAGGAAGAAGGGAGCAGATATTTATTTATTTATTTATTTATTTTGAGTCCGGTCGTGGGGCTTGAATCTGGGCCTGCGTGCTGTCCCTCAGCTCTTCAGCTCAAAGCTAACGCTCTAGGCTGGGAAGATGGCTCAGTGGTAGAGTGCTTGCCTTGCATGCCTGAGGCCCTGGGTTCGATTCCTCAGCACCACATAAGCAAAAAGAAAAAAGCCGGAAGTGGCGCTGTGGCTCAAGTGGTAGAGTGCTAGCCTTGAGCTGAAGAGCTGAGGGATAGCGCCCAGGCCCAGAGTTCAGGCCCCATGACCGGACCCAAAAAAAAAAAAAAAAAAGCTAGCGCTCTACCACTTGAGACACAGTGCCACTTCTGGCTTTTTTCTTTTTGCTTATGTGGTGTTGAGGAATGGAACCCAGGGCCTCATGCATGCAAGGCAAGCGCTCTGCCACTGAGCCACCTTCCCAGCTCCAGGAGCAGATATTTAAGAAGCCCTCATTACATGTCAGCCATTGCACTTGGAGCTTTATGTAACATTCATCACCCAAGAACTAAAGGTACCAGAAAAATGTGAAGTTTCCACTTAGAAAGTTCCTTTATGCTTGTTTGTGTCTGTATCCGTGGAGTCTCATTGTGTGTCCCCAAATGAGAAAGCTGCTTAGACTGGATTCATCATGGGTATTCATCATGTTTGCATTGCCAGCAGAAATCGTGTTTCCCAACTTCCCTCAATCCCAAGGATGCCTAGCCTCCAGCTGTTGATTTTGCCCCCTAGTGGCATTAAAAGTACAGGTGTTGGAAGTGCAGAGATTACCTCCTACCCAAAAGAGAACCCTGAAGGCAATGGGAAGGAGCTTCTCAATTCTAGGGGTGGAAGATGAAAGGGGGGTTAGGGGGGGAAGAGAGGGTAGTGTAGTGTAGCCTGCAATTTCCAGTTCCTGTGAATTCTCTAAACCAGAAATTATAATTGTTACATAAAAGCTTCACATTAACTATCAGATTTTAGTGTAAGTTTTTTTTTTTTTTTTTTGGTCGGTCGTGGGGCTTGAACTCTGGGCTTGGGCACTGTCCCTGTGCTCTTCAGCTCAAGGCAAGCACTGTACCACTTGAGCCACAGCACTACTTCCAGTTTTCTGGCGGTTTATTGGAGATAAGAGTCTCACGAATTTCCTGCCTGGGCTGACTTTGAACTGTGATCCTCAGATCTCAGCCTCCTGAGTAGCTAGGATTACAGGCGTGAGCCACTGGCGCCCGGCTTTTAGTGAAAGTTTTAAAGAGCCAAACCCAATTTATCTGGTGATATTGAGAGACCAAAAATAAGTTTAGCAGGGGCTGGGAAGGTGGCTCAGTGGTAGAGCACTTGCCTTGCATGCCTGAGGCCCTGGGTTCGATTCCTCAGCCCCACATAAGCAAAAAAAAAAAAAAAAGAAAAAAGCCAGAAGTGTTGCTGTGGCTCAAGCGGTAGAACGCTAGCCTTGAGCTGAAGAGCTGAGGGACAGCGCCCAGGCCCAGAGTTCAGGCCCCACGACCGGATATACACACACACACACAAAAAAAAGTTAAGCAGTAATTTCAGACAAAACTAAATCATTTGTCATCTGTTACTGGAAAGTAAGTGTTAGATCCTGCACCAAGGCAAGATAACAGTAAGCATTATTAAGGGGTCAGGCTGCCCTGACCAGTGCAGGAATTTGGGCAGTCTCTCCCCCAACTCTGTAGAGAAAACATTTAGGATAAGATATAATTCAGCATTCCTGTGATTAGCCCCACTTATCCATCCAATGATGTATGATTTAACCTATCCCGTAACTGCTAAGCTAGAAAGTTCATGTCCTTACTGGAAATGATCATACCCTTAACCAAAAAGCTTGACATCCTTCCCTGCTACATACTCAATAAAAACCCTGCTGGACAAGGGGTCGGGGCTCACAACTTTGACCTGCTGCGTCGGTGACGATTGTTGAGTCCAAGCTCAAGCTTGCAAATAAACGACTCTTGCTGTTTGCATTGGTCATGGTCTCTGGGGGTCGCTTGGGGGTCTCGAGTTCGAGTCTAACAATATGATCTCTTGCTTTTCTCACCATGAAATCCAAGCTCTCCTGCATTAAAGTCCCTGCAGCACTCACTCTAATAAAGGTTCTGAAACAATAAATCATTGCCTAGCATGAGACAGAAATTTACCTTTTTATTTTTTATGGGTCGTGAAACCTGAACTCTGGGCCTGGGCGCTGTCCTCAGCAGTTCAGTGCAAGGCTAGCGCTCTACCACTTGAGCCACAGTGCCCATTTCTGGCTTTTTCTGTTTATGTGGTGCTGAGGAACGGAACCCAGGGCCTCACGCGTGCAAGGCAAGCACTCAATCACTGAACCACCTTTCCCAGCCCTTGAGTGTTTTTTTGTTTTTTGTTTTTTTTTTTTTTGTATCGGTTCTGGAGCTTGAACTCTGGGCCTGGGCGCTGTCTCTCAGCTCTTCAGCTTAAGGCTAGTGCTCTACCACCTGAGCCACAGCACCACTTCCGCTGGAGCCACAGCACTACTTCTGGTTTTCTGAGTGGTTTATTGGAGATAAGAATCTCACAGACTTTCCTGTTCAGGCTGGCTTTGAACCTTGAGATCCTTAGATCTCAGCCTCCTGAGTACTAGGATTACAGGCGTGAGCCACTGGCGCCAGCTCCTGAGTGATTTTTAAAACGGTAAACTTTTGGGGCTGGGAAGGTGGCTCAGTGGTAGAGTGCTTGCCTTTGCATGCATGAGGCCCTGGGTTCAATTCCTCAGCACCACATAAACAGAAAAAGCGGGAAGTGGGCACTGTGACTCAAGTGGTAGAGTGCTAGCCTTGAGCTGAAGAGCTGAGGGAAGAGCACCCAGGCCCAGAGTTCAAGCCATACTACTGACAAAAAAAACAAAAAACAAAAAACTCAAGCACAGCACCAGTGGCTCATGCCTGTAATCCTATAATCCTAGCTACTCTGGAGGCTGAGATCTGAGAAGGAAGCCAGCTGAGGCAGGAAATTCCATGAAACTCATCTCCAATTAACCACCAAAAATCTGGAATTGGAGTTGTGGCTCAAAGTGGTAGAGCATTAAGACTTGAGCAAAAAAAGCTCAGGGACAGAGCCTAGGTGCTGAGTTCAAGCCCCATAACAACAACAACAAAAAAAACCCACAACAAATTATCCAAGACATTTTCATGCTTACCAAAATTTAAAATTCTCTATACTCCATTCTATCTGCCTGCCTATCTTTCTGTCTATATATCTAATCAGTCTATTCCATTTTTGTATTCTTCTGTATCCTGTACTAATACGGCATGACCTTTGCAAAAACTCAGCAAATATCTGTGGTGGCTTATGATGTAAGGAACTGCCAGGGCAACTCAAATCCCAACTCCTGAGAAGAGCTCTGGAGCCAGACAGACCTGAGCTGAACTTTGCCTCTTGTCTCAACTATGTGACCTTAGCCACTTAACCTTCCTGTGCTTCAGTTTCCTCTTCTGTAAAGTGGGAATAATGACTATACTAACTTCCTCGGGGCTATTATGAGACTGAAATTAAATACCAGGTGAAGCATGACTAATGTGGCTTCAGTTATTCATTGCTTAACAAAAACATTAAATGGAAAATTCCAGAACTTATAACTTGCAACTTATAAGTTTCAAACTGTACATCATTCTGATAGCATGATTAAAATCTTGTCCTAGTCTGTTCTGCCTGAAATATAAATGACCCCTTTGTTCAGTATTATTCATGCTACAAATGCTACCTGCCTGCTAGTCACTTAGTAGCTGTCTCAGTTATCACACAGTCTGTCTTGGTATGATAGTGTTTGTATTAAGTAACCTTTATTTATTTAGTAATAGCCTCAAAGCATAAGACCACCAAGTAATGCTGGCAACTCAAATATGCCAGAGAGAAGTCTTAAACTGCTTCCTTTAAGGATTATTTTACATCATAAAGTGAGTATAGCACTGTAAGACTTTTAAAGACCACATCCACATAACTATTATTAAGGTATATTATTGTAATTGTTTTATACTATGCTTTCTTATTGTTAATCTTTTACAATGTCTAATTTAAAAGTTAAACTTTACCATAGTTATATATGCATGTAGGGAAAAAAGTGCATAGAGGATTAGGTACTATCCACAGTTTCAGCTATCACTGCATGTCTTGAAATGCATCCTTTCCAATAATGGAGGACTACTCTACATCTCAAAGTTCCCAACAACGTCTGAGGCCAGCCAGCCAATGTGACATTGCTTTATACAGCTAGGATGTGGAAGGTCAGAAAAGGAAGTGAAGCGTATGTATTGCAGATCAGGCTCAACCTGTGTTCCAGGCTACAGGATGTTATGTTAGGCCCATTCTTTCCAACTTCATTTTGCCCACCAAACTTCTTACCTTGCATATAAAAATGAGGAAGGATGAGTCTGCAAAGTCTTTTGTGATCAGCTGCCCATAAGCAAACTTCTCTACCTTCCCCATAGGGACAAGCTTCCAGAGTTTCTCATCAGGCCAAGAATTAAATAGATCTAACTTCCTGAGGAGGAAAAGCCTGTTAGAAGTCATCACTCTCCATACTATAAGGCATCCAGACCTTAGCATTTTTAAACTCTTGATATAGTTGCTAGATGGAAGATTTCATACTACCCACTCAGTCGCCTCACCTCGCCTGAGCCAGCCTTGTACATCCCCTCCTCAAGGACTTCTTCCAGGCAAGTGCCCCTCTTTGCTGCTGATCAGGTGTCCTAAGGGTGACCCAGCTCACTGCTTTTCTCACTATGCCCTCACCCAGGGGCATAGTGTGTGTGTCCTAGGGCTTGAACTCAGGGCTCCGTCCCTGAGCTTCTTTTGCTCAAGTCTAGTATTCTACCACTTAAGCCATACAGCTCTACTTCTGGCTTTTTTGGTAGTTTAGTGGAAACTTTCTTGTCCGGGCTGTCTCCGAACCATGATCCTCAGATCTCAGACTTCCGAGTAGCTGGGAATACAGGCCCTGGTAGCTGGCTCAGGAACTTTTTTTTTTTTTTTGGGTCCGGTTGTGGGGCCTGAACTCTGGGCCTGGGTACTGTCCCTCAGCTCTTTAGCTCAAGGCTAGCGCTCTACCACTTGAGCCACAGCGCCACTTCCAGCTTCTTTTCTTTTTGCTTATGTGGTGCTGAGGAATTGAACCCAGGGCCTCATGCATGCAAGGCAAGCACTCTACCACTGAGCCACCTTCCTAGCCCGAGGAAGGAAATTTTTTGCCTGTTGTTCCCTGTGGTTGAAGACCCACTCTGCGGTGACTGTCCCCTCCTCTCATCTTGTGTACCAGCAATCTGTCATGTGCTTGTGAGGGCTTGTGGGGCTACTAATAATCATCTTAGACTTTTCTCAGCTCCAACCTTTATGGGCTCAAAACCCAACTGACTCAGGCTGACTGAATTAGCTCAGGTTAATATAAGGTGATTCAGGCCTCAAAGACGCTAAGTCCAGTTCAAATGTCAAAATAGAACAGGGTCTATGAGGACAAGGATCTGGAGACAGGAAAAGAAAAAAACAGGGTCACCTCACAGGAAGAATACCTGCTATGTACCATGCACTGGACCACACTTTCCCAAGATCATCCCACTCCATCTTTACCATGACATTGGACGAGAAGTATCATTACTCTCATCTTACACAGCAGATGGCTAAAGCTTAGGGAAATGAAGTGACTTATGCAAAGTTATACCACTGCAAAGTCTATTAGAATTTGCAGCCATGCATTTGAATTAGGCCTTAATGTGGGTCCACAGACCAAAACAATTAAAACCCCACTAAAGAAAGTGAAGCAGTGGATCAAGCAGAGTACCAGCCTTAAGTGAAAGCCCTGAGTTCAAGCCCCAGTACTGGTGTGTGCACACACACACAGAGTGGAAAAAGATGTTTAATGAAATTACCTAAAAAAGCTAAACCGATAGTGAGATTCCTTTTGAACTTCCTCATCCAGCTGATTAGCAAGGAAGTCTTCACGGTCAACAACCAGGAACTCCGTTTCCTCCATGCAGACCACTGTGGCCCTCCTTACTGCTGTACTCAGAAGGCCCATTTCCTGTTGGATAGACAGGGACAAAGGCAAGTATGAGCTGTACAACCTGTTCATAGTCCTTATATCTGTAGTGTCTATTGAAAAAGAGAACAGGCCAGAACATGCCAGAGGAGAGAAAGCTGGAGGGGTTGTGCTTCCAAGTTACCGCCTCTCTGAATGGATAAAGTGGGAAAAGATCTGCCTTGGACATTACGTGACCCAACTTATTTAGCATTTGATAAAGCAAGATAGAGCCTTGTTCAACAGGTTGGAGCAAGAGCCCGTGACCTCCCCACCCCCATGCCAACCCAGAGGCAAATCTCTTCCCTTAGGCTTACCCCAAAACAGGAGCCTTTGTGCAGCAATGTCGGGTGGGGGTCTAGGAAGGCACTGCTGCCATCCTCATCATCAGTCACTGCTACTGTGCCCAGGTAGATGAAATAAAAGCTGTTACCCCTCTGTCCTTTCTTGACGATCACACGCCTTCGACCAAACCTGGGAAAAGACAATGCCAGCCCATAGCCTTAGTTATTTTTTAGGTAGGGTCTCATGCTTTGGTCCAGGCATGCATTGGTTAGACCAAGATCCATCCTACCTACCTACTTATAACCTCCCATATGTTGCTGGGACCACAGGCACAAGCCACCATGCCCAGCTTTTACTGAAATAATAGTTCTGCTAACTTTTTTTTTTTTTTTTGTCCATTGTGGGGCTTGAACTCCGGGCCTGGGTACTATCCCTCAGATCTTCAGCTCAAGGTTAATGCTCTACCACTTCAGCCACTACATCACTTCCAGTTTTCTGGTGGTTTATTGGAGATAAGAGTCTCAGGGACTTTCCTGCCCGGGCTGGCTTTGAACTGAGATCCTCAGATCTCAGCCTCCTGAGAAGCTAGGATACAGGTGTGGGCCACCAACGCCCAGCCTTTCTGCTAACTTTTTGCCAGGGTTGGACTAGAATCTTGAACTTCTAATTTGTCTCCTGAAAAGGTAAGATTACAAGTATGAACCACCAGGCCCTGATGAAATTAGTCTCTACAACTTCATAGTCTATGGTACTATTATTAGTAGGAGATTATAGACCAAGACACTGGGTGATACAATGATTCTTTCCCTACCTTGACCCCAGTTTCCCCAACTGAAAAGTGAGGAAATAGGAATAGATCCTTTCAGGGGTTACTGCCAGTCCTCTTCATTTCAATGTACCTTTTTTTTTTTTTTGCTGGTCCTGGGACTTGAACTCAGGGCCTGGGCACTGTCCCTAAGCCTCTTTGTGCTCAAGGCTAATGCTATATGCTCACCATTTGAGCTACAGCACCACTTCTGGCTTTTTCTGAGTAGTTTATTGGAGATAAGACTGTTACAGACTTTTCTGCCCAGGCTAGTTTTGAGCCGCGATCCTCAGATCTCAGCCTCTTGAGTAGCTAAGATTACAGACAAGAGCCACCAGTGCCTGGCTCCTGAATATTATTTTTCCCAAGCTGGCACTCTACTATTTGAATCACAGCTCCATTTTTTTTTTCTCTTTTTTATTTCTGTGGTTAATTGGAGATAATAGCCTCACAGATTGTCCTGCCTGGGCTGGCTTCAAACTGTGATCCTCAGAGCTCAGCCTCCTGAGTAGCTAGAATTACAGTCTCAGTAATAGATGACTGAGATTAACTAAGCTACCAGGGTAACAGTGATCACTCAGGTAAACTGATAGATTTTATGGCTGGTATCTTCAGAGGTATGGGAAGGACCTGCCACCCCTACTCAGCTGGGCTCCTCCTACCCTACGGTCTCTCACTGACCGTTCAAAGCGTGTGACTTTGGCAAGAAGCATCTGTAGGGGCTCATCATAGTTCCGGTAACTATCCATAACCTGAAGGAGGTTGCAGAGGGACTGGATCTCCTGCTCTGTCCTCCAGGAAGGCTTTTTCTGTGTAATCTGAATGGCCCTTGGAGGGAAGTGACCCTGGGGAGAAAGACAATGAATGACACACAAGGCTATCGCTGGCAATTCCCCACATTCCTGCTAATATATTCTCCTGTTCCATGTAATAGTACATACTGAGGGCTCACTGTATGCCAAGGACAGAGCTAGGCATCTTGCATGCCCTTTTAATTGCATCCTCTGCAGCTCAAGTATCACTGGGAGATTAAGAGATTCAGGCAGGTTTATGAGTAGATCTGCTACATATCAAGGCCTCTCCTACCTCTTGCCAACAGTACAGGGCTCCTTAAGCTCCAGGACTCAATTGTCTCCTCAACACATGAACACCGTGATCATAGACTTTTTTTTCCCCCTTTTTTGTCAGTCATGGGGCTTGAATTTTGGGCCTGGGCACTGTCCCTCAGCTCTTCAGCTCAAGGCAAGTGCTCTACCACTTGAGCCTCAGTGCCACTTCCAGTTTTTTGGTCGTTTATTGGAGCTAAGAGTCTCACGGACTTTCCTGCCTAGGCTGGCTTTGAACTGCGATCCTCAGATCTCAGCCTCCTGAGTAGCTAGAATTACAGGCGTGAGTCACCAGCGCCCGGTTCCTTGGTTTCTCTTGTATGAAGGGTAAAACATGAGTAACTTTCTATGCCCAATGTCAAGCATTGGCAGGCCTGAAGAACTGAAGGTACAGAATAGTTGAAATAACTTATCTGATTACACTTCATCCATGAGGGGACATGAGAACAAGTGCCCAGAAGAAGCAGGGAATATACCTGTGCCCTATCTCCAAGGGGACAAGAGGTATGGTAAGAGATGGCACTGGTGGTTCAGGTACCAGTAAAAGTTGTTCTCTCCTCTTCCCTGAGAGAAAAAAAAAACATACCTACTTCCAGACTGGGGTCAAGTCAGGTCTGTACTAGTTAGAACAACAGCTTTTCCTGTAAATAGATAAATTTCTTTGAATTTAAATTTTGATTCTAAAATTTAATATTCCATAATTCAATGGGTATGAGGAAGATGATAAAGATGCTTGAGGGCTGAGAAGGTGGCTCAGTGGTAGAGCGCTTGCCTTGCATGCATGAGGCCCTGGGTTCGATTCCTAAGTACCACATAAGCAGAAAAAAAAAAAGCCGGATGTGGCGCTGTGGCTCAAGTGGTTGAGTGTTAGCCTTGAGCTGAAGAGCTGAGGAACAGTGCCCAGGCCCAGAGTTCAGGCCACGACTGGACCCAAAAAAAAAAAAAAAAAAAAAGGATGCTTGAAATTCAGAGAACAAGTCACATGGCCCCAAACCTCACACAGATATAAAGGCATTCCTCATTAGAATGGGAAAGCTAAAAGTACATCCAACATTCAGGTGTGGGACAAGTCTGCCCAGCATTTTTCTCAGAGTTCAAGGACAGAACCAGAATGCACACACAGTCTAATGCCTTTCTCACCACCTGGCTACTTTCTATTCCTTCTGTTCCTCTCATATTCCATTCTGTTTGTTGCTATTTTCCCACAGGTCCAAACCCAGGAATTCTCCCACTCTGGTTCCCCTCAGTTATAAAGTGACAACTGGTTCAGGATGCTCACAGTCTTGGCATGCCAGGATTAGACAGGATCACTGAGATCAGCCACTCTAGAGATGAAGAAACTAAATAGCTAGTTCAAGGTGACAGAATGGGTCACTAGCAGAATCTGGGCCAAAATTAGCTCTCCTGACGCCCAACACAGTGCTTCTTCCTCCCCACATAAACTAGAGCTATGCCTACCTCTTCTGCAATGAAGTCCAGGGTATCAAATGTGATTCGGCCTTGCTTCTTTTTCTGAAAGAAAAAACAGGACACGAGGGAGAATCAGTAAGACTGGCTATAAGAATTCCGTATCTTAAATCTGTGAACTCGGGTCTCACTATGGCAGGCAGAGAGCCATGGGAAACTTCTTATCTACTGGCCCTATCATGTCCACCTCGGCTGAAACCCCAACTCATTCCTATATGTGGGCTGAGCATCAACAACAGAATTGTGAAGACAGAGAAACATGGAGGTAGGGAAAGGGAATGGAGGGTACAGAGAAATCAGCCAGTTGGAGAAAAAAAGGAAGAGGGAAAAGCAACAACTAACAGGAAAATATAGAGGGAAAAAAAGGAGAGATAAAAAGGAACAAATAAAGACAAGTATTGTTAAGTGTCCATAGCAAGACAAGCATGGCAAAGCTCCTTTCTTACTCTTTTCAGTCATTGGGACAAAGCAAGTTTCATCAAGCCCCTGGACTCACACTGGATGTAGGGTAGGCAAAAGACTTTTCCAAGGACCACTGGGAATCTGAACTGAAAGCTTTGTCTAAGCAATCTCAGAGATGAAGTAATCCAACCCTATCTTCTGATAGATGAACAGAGGATAGGGAAAGAGAAGATGAAGGAATGGGAAAAGGGAAAAGTAAAAAGACAAACCTACGCACCCTAGACAAAACCAGGGAAACCATTCTCCTCTCTGAGCATACCTCAAACCGTTCCTTGGAGTCCACCCAGTCCCTGCTTTCTCCCCACTCCTTACTTATCATTTGTGAATCCATGTGGTGCTTTTCAGAAAAACTTATGAAAGCTGGGTGCCGATGGCTCAGGCCTGTAATCTTAGCTACTCAGGAGGCTGAGATCTGAGGATCACGGTTCAAAGCCAGCATGGGCAGGAAAGTCTATGAGACTCTTATCTCCAATAAACCACTAGAAAACCGTAAGTGGAGCTCAAGCGGTAGAGCGCTTGCGTTGAGCTTAAGAGTGCAGGGACAGCACCCAAGCCCAGAGTTCAAGCCCCACGACCGACCAAAAAAAAAAAAAAAAAGCTTATGAAGAGGCAATGCTCAGAAACACTCAGACTGTAGTAGCTTACTCCACTTGACCCTGTGCTGTCCTTGAAAGGTTTCTGGTGTGTGGCCATGTAGCTGGGCAATGTGGTTGGCTCTGGCTTCACATTTCCTCACACCAAGCTTTACACTAGGTTATCAGCTTCCAAATTATACCAACTCCAGCCTCCTGGAAACCAGTCATCTGACTCCCTCCCCTCCCCAGGACCACTCAGTCTCTTTTGCATGCCACCTTGATAATAGAATGTTTTTCCTGAGCACAAACTTGAATCTTTCAAGTTATAATTTCTCCACTCCATCTCTTCCCGATCTCATGTTCAGTTTGACCAGAATATCATCTTAAAATAAGCTTAAATCTGGGCTGGGAATGTATCTTAGTGGTAGAGTGCTTGCCTAGCATGCATGAAGCTCTGAGTTTGATTCCTTAGTACCACATACACAGGAAAAGCTGGAAGTGGTGCTGTGGCTCAAGTGGTAGAATGCTAGCCTTGAGCAAAAGCAGCTCAGGGACCGTTCCCAGGCCCTGAGTTCAAGCGCCAGGACTGGCGAAAGAAAGAAAGAAAGAAAGAAAGAAAGAAAGAAAGAAAGAAAGAAAGAAAAAGAAAGAAAGAAAGAAAGAAAGAAAGAAAGAAAGAAAGAAAGAAAGAAAGAAAGAAAGAAAGAAAGAAAGAAAGAAAGAAAGTCCTAAATCAGGAATGGTGGTTCATGCTATAATCCTGGATACACAAGACACTGGAAACAGGCTTCATCCACTGCTGCAAAAAGGGATAATATTGGGGTTCCATATTAGGTAACTCTTTTGCTTGACTAATAAAGGTGACAGGTGGAGTTCCCACCTGTTTTACCCTTTCTCGTCTCTCTCTTAGCATAAGCTAAGAAGTGGGATGCTATTTATTAGACTACCTTAAATCTTAATAATCCTGCTAAGCCCGGATGCTTACATCCCAGAAGGAGAAGATAGGGTGCGTTCTGTGAGCAGCCTCAATGATTTGATATTCCCGGAATCCTTTGAGGCCCTGACGAAACATTTTACACACTCGGATCATCGTTATGATATCCATGGCAAGCTGGTACAGTCCCTATGAAATAAGCAAAGAAGATCAATGGAAAGCATCTATTTGCCAACAGGCAGCAGAAGGCTGCTCAGTTCTGAACAAGGTGAACTTTAACAGGATTAAATTCAGTGTTATACTGGAGCAATGGTTACATTCTCAGGAAACTGTAGAATTTTTGCCTTTTTTTTTTGGTCATGGGGCTTGAACTCTGGGCCTGGGCACTGTCCCTCAGCTCTTCAGCTCAAGGCAAGTGCTCTACCACTTGAGCCACTTCCTGTTTTCTGGTGGTTTATTGGAGATGTTTCACGGACTTTCCTTCCCAGGATTTCTTTGAACTGTGATCCTCAGATCTTAGCCTCTTGAATAGCTAGGATTACAGGCGTGAGCCACCAATGCCCTGCTGTCTTTTTTTTTTAACTCATTTTTATCTTTCAGTAGTTGTACAAAGAAGTTCCCATTCTACAAAACAGTATATCAATACAAGGTGTCTGAAAACATTCTCACCCATCACTCCTAACCCATCCCTTCTCTCACTTTTTCTTTTTTTTTTTAAAAATTGAGATCAGGCGATTACATAAATTTCACATATTTCACAGTATTGTGGAATAGTGATACTTAAAGTCACAAACACATTTTAACCTCCACAAGGCAAATTGTCTTTATCATGGTCCATAAAATCTGTGAATTCTATGAGCTTTGACAATACAATTATTTGTTCCACATCAGGTAAAGTTTACATTTCTTTTCTTTTGCTTAGTGTAAGCTGTTCCCTCTTTCCCTCTCATTCCTCCCTTTGTTTTTGTTTTTAGTTCTGCTGTCTGGAGGTTAAGACCATGGCGACACATGTGAGGCTTGACCATTTGGCTACCTTCTCAGTCTTCACAGAAAAATTTGAAAACCTACTGAATTTATACTGATAGCTTGAGACTCAGAGTATTTATGCCAAAAAATTTGGCAGCTACAACAAACTGGGACATTCCCAGCAGTCACAGTTAACTATTCCCTAGCACAGGACTAGCTAAATGTTAAGTCCTTAACTTCTGCTATAAATAAATAAATAAATAAATGGTTCAAGTAATTGCAGACAATGTAGGAATGATAACAAAGGTCCTGAACTTTGAGAGAAGAATGGTCAGACAGATGCAACACTGATGTTTGAGGTTCTCCAATGTCAAAGAGTTACAAACCAAGGAATGTGGTTACCTTTAAAGGTAGAAAAGTTAGCCAGCCACTGGTGGCTCACACCTGTAATCCTAGCTACTACTACATGCCTGAGAGATTGTGGTTTGAAGTCAGTTCAGGCAGAAAAGTCCATGAGACTCTTAGATCCAATTAAACACCAAAGAAACCAAAAGTGGAGCTATGGCTCAAGTGGTAGAGAGCACTAGCCTTGGGCATAAAAGCTCAGGGACAGAGTCCAGGCCTTGAGTTCAGCCCTAGTACCAAGACAAACTAACAAAAAAAAAATTGAGTTTGAGGCCCAAACAGGCTCAAATCTATTCCATTTCCACAGGGGTGAAGGAGGAGGGAAGAAGAAGAAGAAAGAAGAAGAAAGAGGAGGAGGAAGAGGAGGAGGAGGAGGAGAAGAAGAAGAAGGAAGAGGAGGAAGAGGAGAAAAAGAAGAAGAAGAAGGAGGAGGAGGAGGAGGAGGAAGAGGAGGAGGAGGAGGAGGAGGAGGAGGAGGAGGAGGAAGAGGAGAAGAAGGAGGAAGAGGAGGGGGGGAGGAGGAAGGGGAGGAGCAGGAGCAGCAGCAGCAGCTCTGCACTGGTGGCTCACGCCTGTAATCCTAGCTACTTAGGAGGCTGAGATCTGAGGATTTCAGTTCAAAGCCAGCCTGGGCAGGAAAGTCCCTGAGACTCTTATCTCCAATAAACAACCAGAAAACAGGAGTTGGACGCTGTGGCTCAAGAGACAGAGCACTCACCTTGAGCTGAAGAGTGCAGGGACAGCGTCCAAGCCTAGAGTTCAAACCCCACGACGCACAAAAAGAAAAAGGAAAAGGAAATTTCTAAAGAAAATATAGGGGCTAGAGTATAGCACAGTGTCCAGAGAGTAACTTGGCAGATGTCAGAATTTAGTCCTCTGAGCCTCATCTGGTTGTCCTTCCTTTGTGTCATGGACTACAAAAGGCACTGCATGGCCATTACTCACCCAAGGTCCCTCTTAAACCTTCCTCTTTCTTCCTTAGAAATTCTTCTGCTCAGAAATTCCTCCCCAGAGACTTTGACTCTGCTTACCTGTTCCTTCTTTAGGAGCTGCCAGGCATGAGACACTAGATATTTCCTCATAGTTCCTGAGTTGGCAAATGGAGCAATTAGCCCTTTTGCCTTTCAAGGAGAGAAAAACAAATCTTCCTCCAATAATGCAATTATACAAGGAGGAAAAAAAGGTTCGACATCAAGTGAGAACTCCTTTCTATACCTCTTATCCTCCCAAGTCATTGGAAGCCTCAATCTCAGAAAACCTCATTCTCAGAATGTCCTGATGTCATAGACTAGAGGAAGGAAAAGACACTGAATCTCTTTCTCAGAACATACTGATGTCATGGAAGAAAATGATGGACAAAGAGTCTTTTTTGGTTAGAATTGAAAGCCCAATTTACTGAATATTCATTTACATCATCTCAATTAATCTTCACAAACACCAAATCCATGCATGAGAACTCAGGTTCAAAGTTGCTAAATGACTACTGAAGTCATGGGGCCCTCATAAAGAAAGCATAAAGCTTCTAGCTACAACTAAGGATATTGAACATCTTAGCTTGGTGAGGCTTAGAACTCTGTGACCTCAGGGTGTAGATATGTACCTAGGCTAACCTCAAAATCCTCCTGCCTCAGTTTCTTAAGTACTGGGATTTACACATGTTCATCATCATGTCCAGCAAAAGCATCTATTTAATACTTTATATTTAAAAATTCAGGCTGAAGATGTGACTTAAGCAATATACCACTTGCCTACTAGGCTGGAGGCCTAGTAGAGTTCAAAATCCACTACTACTACTACTACTACTACTACTAGTCAGGTGCTGCTTGTTCACACCTGCAATCCTAGATACTTCTTAGGCTGAGATCTGAGGATCATGGTTCAGAGCCAGCCCAGACAGGAAAATATATGAGAGGGGCTGGGAAGGTGGCTCAGTGGTAGAGCTCTTGCCTTGCATGCATGAGGCCCTGGGTTCGATTCCTCAGCACCACATAAGCAAAAAGAAAAAAGCCGGAAGTGGTGCTGTGGCTCAAGTGGTAGAGCGCTAGCCTTGAGCTGAAGAGCTGAGGGATAGCGCCCAGGCCCAGAGTTCAGGCCCCACGACCGGACCCAAAAAAAAAAAAAAAAAAAGGAAAATATATGAGAATCTTATCTCTAATCATCAAAAAGCCAGAAGTAGAGCTGTGGCTCAAGTGGTCAAGTGCTATCCTCAAGCAAAAAACCTCAGTGACAGTGCCCAGGGAAGATCAGGAGGGAACAGAAATAGAGGGAGAAAGGATGAACAAATGCAGCAGGGGTACTCACTATACACTGTTGAAAATGAACTACCAAGCTGGGCGCTGGTAGCTCACGCCTGTAATCCTAGCTACTCAGGAGGCTGAGATCTGAGGATCAGGGTTCAAAGCCAGCCCCGGCAGGAAAGTCCGTGAGACTCTTATCTCCAATAAACCTCTAGAAAACCAGAAGTGGCGCTGTGGCTCAAGCGGTAGAGCACTTGCCTTGAGCCCAGGGACAGCGCACCCAAGCCCAGAGTTCAAGCCCATGACCGACAAAAAAAAAAAAAAAAAATGAACTATACAACTTTTGGGTGGGACAGGAGGGAAAAACTGGGAGAGAGTGAAGGAAGGGGTGACATTATCCAAATAAAATGTATTCATGCTGGGTACTGGTGGCTTATGCCTATAATCCTAACTACTCAGGAGGCTGTTATGAGGATTGTGGTTGAAAGCCAGCCTGGGCAGGAAAATCCATGAAACTCATCTCTAATTAACCACCAGAAAACCAAAAGTGGTGCTGTGGCTCAAGTGGTAGAGTGCTAGTCTTGAGCAAAAGAGCTCAGGGATAGCTCCTAGGCCCTGAGTTCAAGCCAACATTACCTGACTTAAGAAACCATAACCCCTCCATACATCACCTTTATAATAATAAAAAATATTTTAAAAAATAGAAAAGGAAGTTATAGAATTACTATATGATCCAGCAATTCCACTTCTGGATAGAGATCTGACGCAATTAAAAACAGAGATTCATTGGGGCTGGGAAGGTGGCTCAGTGGTAAAGCACTTGCCTTGCATGCCTGAGGCCCTGGGTTCGATTCCTCAGCACCACATAAGCAAAAAGAAAAAAGCCGGAAGTGGCGCTGTGGCTCAAGTGGTAGAGCGCTAACCTTGAGCTGAAGAGCTGAGGGATAGCGCCCAGGCCCAGAGTTCAGGCCCCATGACCGGACCCCCCCAAAAAATTAATAAAAAATAAATAAATAAAAGCAGAGATTCAAACAGGTATCTATACACTAATATTGTTAGCAATATTATCTACAATAGCCAAAAGGTAGGAATGTGCAAAAATAACCACTACATGTTAATGGATAATTAAAATGGAATGACATACTAGGTTTTTTTACTTTGGTCAGCTCCTTCACATTTTGAACACTTGCTAGCTTAATCTGCAAAATTAAGAAGCATGGAATATATGTAAATATACATGCATACATATAAATATTACTGTTAAAAGAGCATAAAATTCTGATAATGGTACAACATGATAAAACTTAAAGACATTATTCTAAGTGAAATAAGACAGATACAAAAGGACAAATTTTATTATTCCACTTATAAGAGGGACATAGTGGTCATAGGGACTAGTAGGAAGATGAATGGAGAGTTAGGTTTAACAGGCAGAGTTTCATTGTAGGACAGTAAGAAAGTTATGGAGATGGAGAGTGAGGATGGTGATACCACAAGGTGAATGTACTTAATGCCACTGAACTGTATACTTTCAAATCGTTTTTATGCTATGTATATTTTATTAAAAATGTCCAAAAAATGTATGCAAAAAGCTGGGTGCTGGTAGTTCATACCACTCAGGAGGCTGAGATCTGAAGATTGTGGTTCAAGGCTAGTCTAGGCAAGAGGATAAAGAAAACAATAACAAAAGCAATAAACACCCTCAACAGTAAGAGAACAACTACCAGCAATAAAAATAAGGGAAAGGCGCTGGTGGCTCACACCTATAACTAGCTACTCAAGAGGCTGATAGCTGAGGATCAGGATTAAAAGCTAGCCAGAGCAGGAAAGTCTGTGAAACTCATCTCCAACTAACCACCAGAAAACTGGAAGTGGTGCTGGTGTTCAAAGTGATAGAGGGCTAGCCTTGAGCAAAAGAACTCAGGGACAACACTTAGGACATGAGTTCAAGCCCCATGACTGACCCCCCCCCCCCCCCGCTCCCCCCCAAAAAGCACAAAGGGTATTTGTGGTGACCAAATAGTTCTAGATACTGATTAACATAATAGTTGCACAAATCTACATAAAATTATATGGATATATACATGCATATGTAAACAAAATGCTAGCATGTAAAACTGGAGAATGCTATGGATTGTACCTATATCAGTTCCAGAGTTTGTGTGTGTGTGTTCTGGTAACAGGACTTAAATTCCAGGCCTGGACAATGTCCTTGATTCTTTAGCTCAAGGCTAGCACTCTCACTGAGCCACAGCTCCACTTCCAGCTTTTTATGGTTAATTGGAAGTAAGAGTTTCATGGACCTTTCTTGTCCAGGATGGCTCTGAACTGCAATCCTCAGGTCTCAGCCTCTTGAGTAGCTAGGATTACAGGTGTGAGCTACCAGTATCCAACAATTTCCAGGTTTTGATACTGTACTATATTTATGCAGGATGTGTACTGGGGAAAACAGGATCAAGAGTACCAAGAGACACACTGGGTACTCTTTCCAAATTAAAAAAACAAATTGAAAAAGGTTCATGGGGCAGGGCACCGGTGGCTATGCCTGTAATTCTAGCTACTCAGGAGGCTGAGATCTGAGAATCATGGTTCAATGTCAGCCTGGGCAGGAAAGTCCATGAGACTCATCTCCAGTAAACCACCAGAAAAACAGAAGTGGCACTGTGGCTCAAGTGGTAGAGTGCTAGCCTTGAGTTGAAGAGCTGAGGGACAGTGCCCAGGTCCAAAGTTCAAGCCCCACCACAGATTTAAAAAAAAAAAAAAAGTATTGGAATAGAAGTAAAAAGATTTCTGTTCTCAGTCACTTACTAAAGTTCTGATGTTCCTCCAAAACTTCATTTTGCCTCTTGATGTCTCCTGCAAAATGTGGAAGAATAGGACATTAATCTGGGATCTCTGGATAGATCCAGGAATATATGCAACTTACCTGAAAGTCTATGGAGTATATATACTACATCCGAAAAGGTAGAGGAAGTGGTGCTGTGGCTCAAGTGGTGGGGCACTAGCCTTGAGCTGAAGAGCCGAGGGACAGCGCCCAGGTCCTGAGTTCACACTCCACAAAGTTTCAGAAGACACACAAAATCGGGGCCTGGCGCTCACGAGCATCTACTTGGCGGCTGTCAATTGTTAGGGTTTACACGGATACATTTTGTCCTCTTCAAAATAAGATGGGTGCTACTGTTGCTCTCCTTATTGGACCAGATGAGAGGGTCATTGTGAGCCGGGCCGTCCTCCGGAGACCCGGTGCTGTCCGGCCCCGCTCATCTGGCGACCCCGGACGAGTCCTCGGCGGCCCGACCCCTCACCCCTCACCCCACACCGAGCAGCCGGCATTCCTGGTGGGCGCCCGTTTCCTCCAACCCAGACGTCTACCTTTCTATGTTTGAACACTTCCAACGGCTCCATCGGCACCTCCGGCACATCCCAGTCCTCATCGGAGTCGACATCACTGAACCAGTTCAACTGCTCGTCGCTACTGGACAGCTCCTCCCGGAAGGTTGCAACCTCCACCACTGGCAGCCGACCAACTCTCTGAGGCTCCACTTCCGGAAACCGAAACTCCACTTCCGGAAGCTTCCGTGGCCGTACAATCATATTGACCGGAGCGCAGACACCCACTTCCGGCCTCCGTTGGAGCCTCGCCGCTCACAGGTAAGCAGCCTGCGAACTGTCGGTTGAGTCCTACGTCCGTCCCCAGACGAGGGTCGCGCCGACTCGGTTCCCTATCGGGAAACATTCTTTCATCGCCCTACTCCCGTGCAGACGCGGTGCTGACTCCACAGTGGCCGAATAGTGACGTCGAGAGGAGTCATGGCGGCCCCGGAGGACCCCGCGGCGACCTCGCCACTGCCGGCGGAGGGGCCCGGCCCGAGCCCAGACCCTGAGCTGAATTCGGCGGGCTCCTCCCCGCCTGCCCCGGCGCTCTCCAGCCCCGGCGCCGCAGCCGCGGAGGAGAAGCCCGCGGTGGCGGAGGCAGTGGCGGCCCGGGAGCCCCGCCGTGGGCCCAGCCCTGCGGCTCCTGCGGCTCCTGCGCCTCAGGCCGACGGCGGGGCTCGTTCCCCGCCACGCCCTGGCGGTTCCCGGCCTGGCCCCGAGACGTTCCGTCAGCGTTTCCGGCAGTTCCGCTACCAGGATGCGGCGGGCCCGCGGGAGGCGTTCCGGCAGCTGCGGGAGCTCTCCCGCCAGTGGCTGCGGCCCGACATCCGCACGAAGGAGCAGATAGTGGAGATGCTGGTGCAGGAGCAGCTCATGGCCATCGTGCCCGAGTTGGCCCGGGCCCGGCGGCTCCGGCGCCGCCCCGACGTGCGCCTCACCGGCTGAACCGGGAGGAGCGAGCGTCTCGTTTCCAGGACTGGTGCCATTGACGGGGTCGGAGGTGGAATCTGGCACTCCACCCCTCTCCACTTGGTGTTAATGAAAAAGTTTGACAGTTAATGAAAAGGTTTGACAATTGCTGTTGTCTGATGTGTTTCTATCGTTCGTCCTTAAATTTCTTAAAACCGAATTGATAAATTGAGAACCCAAGAATTATGTAATAAGACCATCGTAAGCTGTTGTGTTGATCTTTCAGTGTCGGTTACACCTGGGCCAGCCCTTTACATCTGCAAAGAATTTTCTGAACCTAGATTCAAAGGACCCGCTTGGGTTTTTAGTAGGCTGTGTCATGAAGATTCCAGGAATCTGAATTCCATGCCACCTGTATTGCTTAGCAGCTAGCATCTAAACTCGTTTTCCTGAGTACTGTAGTTGTGGGGATCCAGCAGGCAAAATAATTGGCTCTATTGAATGCTAACTTAACTACATATCTATTCTAATATCACTACCAACTTGTCCTACCTGCCCTTTGGGCACAGGCTTCCCAAAAGGCTTTTGTTGGGGCCAGTTTTTTTGTCGGTTGTAGGGGCTTGAATTCTGGGCCTGGGCACTGCCCCTGAGCTCTTCAGCTCAAGGCTTACACAATACTACTTCAGCCGGTTTTTTTGGTGGTTAATTGGAGATAAGAGTCTCCGGGACTTTCCTTCCTGGGCTGGCCTTGAACCGAGATCCTCAGATCTCAACCCTCCAGAGTAGCTAGGATTACAGAAGTGTGAGCCATTGGCATAATGTGAAACGTTTTTACTACTGTTCCTTATTTTTTTTAATTTTTTTTATTTTTGGGTACGGTAGTGTGACCTGAACTCTGGGCCTGGGCGCTGTCCCTCAGCTCTTCAGCTCAAGGCTAGCGCTCTACCACTTGAGCCACAGTGCCACGTCCGGCTTTTTTCTTTTTGCTTATGTGTGCTGAGGAATCGAACCTAGGGCCTCGCGCATGCAAGGCAAGCGCTCTACCACTGAGCCACCTTCCCAGCCCCTGTTCCTTACATTTAGGACAGGTCTTGTCATCTCATTTATTCTTCTAGATTGATCAACTTCTTTTTTTGTCCCCTCTCCACCCGCCCCCCCCCCCTTTTTTTTTTTTTTTTGCCAGTCCTGGGGCTTAAACTCAGGGCCCAGACAGTGTCCCTGAGCTTCTTTTTGCTTAAGGCTAGCACTTGAGCCATAGTGCCATTTCAGCGTTTTCTGTGTATGTGGTACTGAGGAATTGAACGTAGGGCTTCATGCATGCAAGGCAAGCCCTCTATCACTAATCCACATTCCTAGCCCTTTTGCCAATTCTCTATTCTGAGGTAGGATTTATTCAGAAGTGTTACTGAAGGAAAACATAGCTTCCTTAGTTTCACTAGCTGCTAAAGATGACTAATTTTGGTTTTCCATTAGCTTTGCTGCAGGTAACACCTCTGGTCTATGGGCTATAGTAACATTTGTCTAGGTTTCTTTTCAGGAACCTGAGGTCACTTGTTGATGACACTAACTTTCTCTTTGGTGTGTAGCTGTCTAATGAATGACTCAGGACAGGATGAAAAGGCTTAGCAGCATCACTTGTCTTCATATTGTGCTTTGTTCCCTTAAATTTTGAGCTAGGTTCTACTCTGTATCTTGTTGAACATTGGAGAAATGGTTGTCCAACACTACAAGGTTAACCTATCCTTGACTAGTCCCCCCCACTCCCCTTCATAGCTAAAGACAGGAAAACAACTAAAGAAGTGGAACATCCATATAGTCCCAGAAAATGCAGAAGTATCCCTCCCCTTTATTAGCTTCTCTCACTTATTCCTAGCCTATATCTGAAACCCCTGGAGTGGAAAAGCTTTGTGAGTACAACTCTCTTCTCCATTCATTGGTCACTGAATACAGCCTTTCTCCAACCTGTCTCCAGATTGACTTTCCCATGGATAGGATGAGCTTGGGCCTGGGTTCAGTGAGCTATTGGGTTACTTATAATAATGTTGCTAATAATGTCTCCAGCGGACTCCCTTACAGCCGCTCCTAGTTTTTTTGTTTTTTTCCCCCAGAGCCAAATCCCCAAACCCGTTTTGTTCTTTTTTTTTGTCAGTCATAGGGCTTGAACTCTGGGCCTAGGCGCTGTCCCTGAGCTCTTCTTCAGCTCTACCAGGTGAGCCACAGCGCCACTTCCAATTTTCTGGTAGTTAATTGGAGATGAGTCTCACTGACTTTCCTGCCTGGGCTGGCTTTCAATAGCAGTCCTCGGATCTCAGCCTCCTGAGTAGGATTACAGACTTGAGCCACTGTTGCCCGGCTGTGTTTTGTTGTTTTTTGAGATAGGGTCCTCCAAACTCAGCCTCTCAAATCTGCCCCAACACTTTCATTTATCTTTATTTGTGCTAATTTGAGCTCAGGCTCCAGTTGTTGCTTGGCTTGTAAGTCCACACATTCAGTTTTGCTGGTTGATGGGAGAAAAGAATCTAGGATTCTTCCTGGACTCTCTTTGAACCATGATTTTCAGATTTTGGCTTCCTGAATAGTTAGGACTGTAGGCATGAGCCACAGGTACCACCCTTCTCTCCCCCTCCCCCAACTTCTTGTTTTTTTTGTGTGTGTGCCAGTCCTGGGGCTTGAACTCGGCCTGGGCACTGTCCCTGAGCTGCTTTTGCTCTACCACTTGAGGCACAGCGACAATTCCAGCTTTTTCTGTGTGTGTGGTACTGAAGAATCGAACCCAGGGCTACATGCATTCTAGGCAAGCATTCTACCACATTCCCAGCCCCCACCCACCCAATTTTCTTTTTTTCTTTTTCTTTTTGGTCAGTCATGGGGTTTGAACTCTGGGCCTGTGCACAGTCCCTGATCTCTTCAACTCAAGGTGAGTGCTCTACTCTACCACTTGAGCCACTTCGAGATTTCTGGTGGCTAATTGGAGACAAGAGTCTCATGGACTTTCCTGCCTGGGCTGGCTTCAAACTGCAGTCCTCAGATCTCAGTCTCCTGAGTAGCTAGGATTATAGGTGTGAGCCGCTGGCACCTGTTGCCCACCCAATTTTTTTTTTTTTTTTTTTGGTCGGTCATGGGGCCTGAACTCGGCCTGGGCGCTGTCCCTCAGCTCTACAGGCTCAAGGCTAGCACTCTACCACTCGAGCCACTGTGCTACTTCCGGCTTTTTCTGCTTATGTGGTGCTGAGGAATTGAACCAGTGAGGCAAGAACTCTACTACTGAGCCACCTTCCCAGCCACCCACCCAACTTTCTAACCAATGTAATTAAGAAGCTAAGTGATGATGATGACATTCTATAAAATATGAAAGCCTTGCCTTGCCTTTGAGGCTGTTGCCTGACTAGAGAGGAGCTAGTTGGGATGCATAGCCAACTTGGCTTGGTCCCAGAACCTTTAGGTAAAATATAAGGAAGGTAGGTCATGCGGAGAAGCATGCAGAAAGTTCTAAGTTCAATCTCCAGTACTACCAAAAAAAAAATAACAATGTTACTTTGCATTATTCTGGATGAAAAGACTGAAATTCTAAGAAAGGCCAGGCTTATTTTCCTTGTATTGCTTCCAATAATAAACGTGAAACTCCTCACCATAATTCACAGACCAGACTAGTTGAAAAGCTAGGAAAAGGCATTTTGCTTTGAAATATGAGACATTCAAAAGTATTTTGCATATAGGATTTCTTGGCAATTTGTTTCTGCCTCCAAAATCTTTTAAAAGAAAAACAAGGGGCTGGAAAGGTGGCTCAGTGGTAGAGCCCTTGCCTTGCATGCCTGAGGCCCTGGGTTCAATTCCTCAGCACCACATAAGCAAAAAGAAAAAACCCGGAAGTGGTGCTGTGGCTCAAGTGGTAGAGTGCTAGCCTTGAGCTGAAGAGCTGAGGGACAGCGCCCAGGCCCAGAGTTCAGGCCCCATGACCGGACCCCCCCCCCCCAAAAAAAAAAAAAAAAAACAAGCTGGGCAACTGGTAGCGCACACAAATAATCTTAGCTACCCAGAAGGCTTCAACATGAGGATCATAGTTCAAAGACAGCCTGGGCAGGAAAATCTGATAGATTCTAATCTTCAATTAATTACTAAGAAGCCAGAAGTGGCAGTAAAAGCTCAAGTGTCAAGAATGCCAGCCTTAAGCAGAAAAGGAAA